CGCAGGCACACACGCAGACAGATAAACCAACACAGGAACACACACCCTTACTATACCACCCTGCAGTGTGTGGGAGAATGGTGGCTGTGGACTCAGCATGTTTGGTTCATGCTTGCACCATTGCTGAGCTGGTTGGTTGGCGTAATGTAGACTGTGGATAAAAGAGACAGACACACAAAAGAAGCATTTTTGTGAGGAACAGGAAGAAATTCACTGTAGTTTGGAGTGCAACAGCAGTCAGGTGTGTCTCTGAACAGGCGGGGGTTCGACATGTGACTCAAGGACACTTCAGCAGCAGCAGGGATTATTTGAAACTGATGGACACACAGCAGGACCGTCGGTACTCCAGCAGCCTCGCTCCTCCTTTATCGGCCTATCCAGGTGGAGACTCTATTAAATGGATGTGGATGGATGTACCCTGCTGCTTTTCTGTCTTCCCAACACTCTGTTTGACTCCCTATCTATCTATCTATCTATCTATCTATCTATCTATCTATCTATCTATCTATCTATCTATATGCATTTGTATTTTCCCTTTCTTGCTGTCTTACACACACAGACAGAGTCACTCATGCACAGGTCTCAGTCCCAGTGGGAGCTGTCTACAGTCACCCTCTAACCCGCTGCAGAGACCGTGTGTCTCGGAGCAGCTGCTCCAGCTACAGACTCAGCTGACTCCTTCAGGAAGAAACTAATGTTGGTGATCTGCCCACTGATCTCCTGCCTGCTGTCTGACCAGCAGAGCCTGGTGGTGGGAAAGCTCACGATTGCATCCATTTTTAAACTCAGAAGTAGTAACCGGTGGCTACTCTTTCTGTTTTCACCTCACTAGTATTTGCATTATTTTGCTTTTCATCTTTTATTCTTCAAATTTTAAAGTTTAGGCTACTTAAATTTGAACTCTCCACTCCAGTTATCTATCTATTATATATATATGACATTTCTCTTCTCTGGCCTTAATTTTCTGAACTAACCATGCAGGTCCAGCTTGACATATTTTTCCTTTGACAACATTTTTCCTGCAGAAACATCACCACCTGTATGTTATTAAAAAAAAAGTAGCTTGTGTCTGCAGGCTGAAGCCATTACTTTCCTTGAATGATTCACAGAGCCCAGAGCCAGACAGGGGCCATGGAACATGCCAAGCATTATAGATATTTACAGAGCTTTAAGGGCTGTTGTGATGGGGCAACGATTTCTAGTAGCAACTCCTGGTTGCAACACTGCCTTAAAAAAATCCAAATAATTCAGGTAAGACTTGCTTTCAGAAGGAATAAAATACCTCCCACCCTGTGGCTCTGCAAAACCACAACAGCACCCACACAGAAAGAAAAAGAGCGATACCCTATCATTCATCTGATCGACTGATTATCAACCTTCTTGATTTGTCACCTCTTAAAACGGTGGATCTATTGAAATATTCGTGGGGTGGCAAGAGGCCGGCGTCAAAACTTAAAGGGGTGGCAGAAATATATGCTGATTTAATCACAAATAATCACATATATCAATATTTGCAAACAAATAAAGATATTTGAACTCAAAAACATTACATGATTGTGCCACATTATTAAAGCATTGAATATAAAGGTGGCATTAGAAATCAATATTTTGTTTTATTTAAATCAATCTGAATTAATGTGTTACATTTGAGAGCATTTGACACCAAATGAGGGGGGCAACATCGGTGGCCAGGCCCTTTTTAAGGGTGACAGCTGCCACCCCTCTGCTCTTAAAATAAAGCACTGGTTGCACCAGTTGGGACCTGTTCAACCATTGAAGATAGATTTTTTTCATTGTTTCTTTTAAATATTCTGATAATTTGAATAAGTGTGAAGATGAAAAACGACCAAGTCATTTACAAGAGGAAGAAAAAAAACAAATTAGATGAAAGTCATAAATTTCTGAGCATAAAATGTTCTCTCTGCTTCCCTGGGAGTCTTGACTGCCAGATTGGGAAGCACTAAAAAAGGAGATGGGATTGTTTAATTGCACGTCAGTAGTTGCTATTTCAAACAACTGTCTAAGTAACCTAATAAGTGATTATATTTCTGTTACTGGACAAAAAAATGAAAGCGGTGCCCTGGTTTTGGTCAGAAAACAAGCTGGCAGGGAGGAGAGCTGCCAGCTGCAGAATGTCAACAGTACAATAAAATGTGTTCAAAATACTGCAAATATGCCGATTGGTTGAAGTCTATGTAAGTCAATGTTACAGGAATAGCACTAAAAATAGCTCAAACGTGCCCAAAGGCTTACGTTTCTCGGAAAAAAAACCCCAGCTAGATCTTGCATCGTGGCTCTCCACAGTTGGTTCAATATCAAAGCCAAAACCTGTTTTGATGGCGGGGGGGGGGACGGACGGACGGCAAGGTCGTCTGGGTTATGGAGTGAATCCAGTGGAGATGCAGCAGTTTGCGGCTCTCTGCTGTTTGTTTGCTGTCAGGCGGGTCCATCTGGTGGGCAACAGAAGGATTGCTCATGTGGAGTCGTTAACTGTACATTTTCTCACCTTCATCTGTTATGCTCCATTTCTCCCCCTTGAGCCATCTCATGACACACTTTTCCACCGTGTTCAGTCCGGGTGAGAGGAAATGTTAACTATCCGAAACCATGCAGGTAGCAGAGGGAAAGACAACTTTTTTTCCCTCCTCCACATAACCCTCTGTAACCCAAGCATACACTGATATTTACATATAACAATAATTAATTTCATTAAGTCTACCCACCTTGTTTATTTACCACTACCACTACTAGTGTGTATATTCCACCGGGTATGACCGACACTGCCCACCCGCGGTGCTCATCAGTTCTCACCGGAGTGTGTGGAACTCAAGCCCCCGGCCGGTCACCGAAGAATAGTGGTCGTTAAATATTCATCCTCCGTTCCCGGTGGCACACTTTTCCTCTCTACTGACCGACCCCTGCTGCTCCGAGCCCCGCCAGAGGAGCAGCAGATGCGTGGAGCTGTGTGAAGATTAAGAGAATGTAAACGGGATTTGTTGTAGTTTTTTTGGTGTTTTTTTCTGTTTTCTCTGACCCTTCTGACCTATAAGATGATGGGGAAACGTGACTACGGAGCTCCAGTGACGTGAGAAACTCCCATGTTGGGTGTGCCGGAGGAAAGGTGAGTTTATTTATGGGTGCACCTACACCTCCTCCATCACCTTGAACCTCCACACATGAAACTGTGGAGCCTATCCGTTTGTTTGCACACTTTTGGTTAATTCTCAAGATGAATCTTTATCCTGGAGTTAGACTACCTGATGCATCTCCTTAACACTTTATTAAATCATGAAAAACAATGATTGATTAGGTAATTGCTTTGTTTTGTGCGAGACTTACACTTGCTACAGGCCTGTAAACTTTTAGATGATCCAACCACCTTCAAACTATTAGTAGTGCTGCAGGTGTAATGCTGGTCCACTAGATAGCAGCAGATTGCTTTGTGTGTGTGTGTGTGTGTGTGTGTGTGTGTGTGTGTGTGTGTGTGTAAAGTGACAAAGATGGTCTACTGCTTTCCCTCAGGAGCTGAATGCTTTTGATGAGCCTCATCAAGTCCACCTCTGTCATAAGTCTGCTTTTTCTCTCCCGGGCATGCATCCCAGTTTCTCTGTTTTTGTCTCTTCTCTACAAATTCTATCAAAAGATGGAAGACCACCTGCCAGCAGCGATTGCTTTGGGAAGAGTGAGACTGGCTGCAACTCAGAGCTTTTCCCGTTTGATAGGGTCTTTTCATTCTGCTTCAAAGGCAGATGTGCGGTTAAACTGTGGGAAATCCAGGAAAAAATATTCTTCATCACGGTTTCCGTCTTTTTAACGCATATGTGCACCCACTCAAAGACATAACTCTGAATAAACACACTGTGCACATACACACACACAGACACAATACATGTGCTCTGTGCTGGTTGGTAATGATCAGATAGACTTACACACCAAGACCAAAAGATCAGGATCTGGCAACCCAACACCTATACCCTGCAACAGGACAGATCTGGCAATCCGACCCCTTCCCTCTGGAAGAGGAATAATTTGGTTGATGGCACTAATAATCACAGCCCTGTTACCGATCCTTCACTGGCTGTGTGTGTGTGTGTGTTTGAGAGAGTCATTCCTCTGTTATTGATACCTAGAGCGAAGACGTCACATATCTAACAAGTGGGTGTTTCTCCTGCCTCTGCTCCTTCTCCTGCTGTTACGCATGTGGAAGTAGGTTGGTGGCTGATGCATTGCTCATACTGCTGCTGTTTAAATATATTTCTTAGAATGATGGATCAGTTATCTTCACTCATACACACATACACACACTTGACAGTAGCCTATATGATACTCTGGAAACAGCGAAGGAGTAGATTTGAGGTCAGATAGCATGATGCTTTGTCTATGCGACTTTTCCCATTCACAAGTGAACATGCAACACCTTAAGGAATGCCGAAATTAGAGGTTGTTAATTATTGGATATTTGTGGCTTTGATGACATCCTACTGCCAATCAGGCTTATCTTCTGCATCCCATGTCTGTCTCTCTCTCCCTCTTTCTCTCTCTCGACCTTTTGTATTATTTATGCCCCGCCCCCTCAGCCGCCTGGCGCTCTCGAGTTTCACCTGTAGAGCCGGATGACAAATTAAGACTCCTTCTACGACCCGCCACAAGGAACTCCTCAAATGCACGCCAAACACATACACATATATGCGCACATGCGAACGCACACACATACACACAAACAGGCAACCCATCTGCCCTTCTCTCTTTCTCCTTCCCTCACACACACACACACACACACACACACACACACACACACACACACACAGGAGCTGTCACACACTCTGAGGAGGGCAATGTGAGCAGAGTGCTGTGTTGAGTGAGGAAATGTGTTGTAGTGAGCAACAGAGGACGGAGTAGGTCAAAGGAAGAAGCTGAGTGTGACCTGAAGACTTTGTCCTCGAGTTTTTAACTTTTTATTTTTTGAACTGCTAAAGAAGAGACCTCCTGTGAGGATGCAACGAATTTGAAGACTGCCAAGATTCTGGCGACCACCACACTTGCTCTTCTTTACTGCTTGTCATTGAATGTGGAGGTGACTATGACAGCGAATTGCCTTGATGAATGAGTGCGGTAACACTGACACAAGAGAAAGGCTGGACCATAGGGAGGGTAGAGCTTGAGCTGGAATAACAGCTGCATGTTTTGTTTGTGTGTTTTTAATATTTGTATGCAGTTTTACAGAAAGCAAATTCCATAGGGAGCACACTGTGTGGAAATTAGTAAAACCAACAGATTAAAAATATCTTTTGTAAGAGTTAGCAGTGAGGTTGAGCCTGATAATACAGGCAATGCTATACATAGGCCTGTATAACCAAAATTTGATTTAAAGAAGGTGTTTAGAGCTCTGACCCACGGAACCCTTTGACCTTAAGGCCTTTGACCTGGTTACTGATGAGAGGGATTGTCAATCTCTTGGTAGGGGTTGTATAACTCCTATGTAGAAGTGAGAGCTCTTTGAAATCAGAGATTTCTAGATTGAAATTGGACATAGGTAGTGTACACAAATAGAGTGATAGAGCTTAGAGAGTTTACAGTTGAGGAACTATAGAAAGGTAGGGTTAGGTTTACGGTTTGGTAAGTTTCATGTTCCTTGCTAGGGCTTGTACATCGTTTTGCAGCAAGATATTGTTTGAGACATTACTGTATACATATACATTAAATATATAAAACAGTTTATGGGTAGTGCTATGAAGAGTTCACTTAACTACTTTGTTGTGTGTATGCCAGTAATGTATGTTTGCTAGTGTAAATATATGTCTCTATATGTGTTTGGGGCAAAATATTGCTGTCATTTAGCTATGTATGTCTGGACAGGAGCCTCATGGGGACCAGATTTGGGTTGTGTACAACTGCTTTGGCCAGGTGGACCTGTCCTCACACAGATACTGAACCTGCATATAGTGCTGGCACAAAGTCAACTAGGCATATCTAAACCAAAGAATCTTTTAAAGGTCAGACTCCAGATCATATCTTCTTAACATATCACAACATATTTTGTTCATGTTGAACTTCAAATACATTACTGTCTTTGAAAGATTGTCCATGTAATATGTCTGTGTTTGAAGGTTTACAGCATTGCATCCTGAAGAGAGGGCATGGTTTACTCCTAGCCACTTGTCAAAATGCCTGGCAAGAAAGACACCAAGAAGGACGCAAAGAAAGGTGGAAAACCTGAACCAGAGAAAAAGAAAGAGGAGGAAAAGAAAGGGAAGGATGACAAAAAGGGTGGAAAAGATGAGAAGAAAGCCAGTAAGGATGATAAGAAAGGTGGAAAGGACGATAAGAAAGGGGGGAAGGATGATAAGAAAGGGGGGAAGAAGGGAAAGGACGAGCCACCCAAGGGGAAAGATGATGGAAAGAAAGGAAAAGACAAAGGCAAAGGTAAGAAAGTGGAGTCTGAAGAGGAAGAGGATGAGCTTCTGAGTGATGAAGAAGAGGACGAAGAGTTTAGTGAAGAAGAGTACGATGAAGAGGAAGACTCAGAGGATGACAGGAAAGGGAAGGGGCGAGGAGGCAAGGGGGCTAAGGGAAAGAAAGGGGGGAAGTCCAGACGTGGGGACTACTCAGACGAAGATGACGAGGAGGATGAAGATGAAGAAGAGGATGACGATTACGAAGACAGTAAATCCAAAAAGAAATCTAAAGATGACCGCCACCATAAAGGAGGGAAATCTGATGCTGATGCAAAGAAGAAGAAAGGCAAAAAGAAAGAGGAAGCTCCTCAGATTCCAGTAAAGGAAATCCCAAAGAAAGGTCTGAAGAACATGTCCAGGATGTTCATGAAGTTTTCTGGTTTCAAGAGGCGCAGGACCAGCAGGAAGAAGCTGAAAAGTACATCACGTTTGTTCCTGGGGTTGGGGAAGAGAAAGAACCGCCTCGCTAAGAAGAAACGCCGCAAGTCCATGCTGAAGAACACCTCTCGATTCATGATGAGGTTTAAGGCCAGCAAAAAGAAGAAAAAGGAGAAAGAGGACAAAGAGAAGGCGGCGGCAAATGGCGGGAAGAAGCCAACCTATATGCTGCTTCGTCTAGGAGGGAATGAATCAAATCAGAAGAAGGGCTTCTTCAAAGGGTTATTTGGGAAAAAGGAGGGTGACGGGCCTGCTGATGACTTCAAGAACAGAAGTGTGCTGCTGGGTAAGGTTGCAGCTGCAACCAACTGGCTGACCAAACGCTTCCTGTCCACTAAAATGCGAGGAGATGCAGGACACCACGGCTGGGGTGGAAACAGAGGACAGAGTCGACAAGCCAGCTCCAGACGCAATCTCCGTGGTCACCATAATGATGGTTACGAGTATGATGGGGAGGCTTACGGATACAACCAGCAACATTCGGCCCACCAAAAAGGTTATGGGGGCTATGATGATGGATATGGTGGATATGGAGACGAGGCAGCTGCAGCATATGGAAGCCAGAGTCAGTATGGTTATTATGACAATGGAGCAGGGGGAGCAGACTACCAAGACCTGGGTTACTATGAGGAAGAGGGACTCTATGATGTAAATGCAGAACAATATGATGGTGGTCTTTACGAACAAGGCATGGGGGACTACTATAACCCTCATTCCTCTGCCCAAGGCTACTATAACAACCAGGAGGCTGATTATTATGGTTACCAGCAACAACAGGCTATGGCAATGTATGGAGATGAGGGTCTGGACTACTATGCACTGATGGGTGAGGACCATATTTATGCGGGAGAGGTAGATGGATTCATAGACCCTCAGGCTCAGGGTTATTATGATGAAAATAGTCAAGGAGTTTACTACGGTGATGGACAAGGGGGTTACTATGATAACGGTCAGGCAGGTTATTATGAGAACCCTTATGCAGCAACCATGGGAATGCAAGGGGGTTTTCCACCAGACTATCAACTTAGTTATAGTGATGCTGGCATGCCGTACCAAGACTACAGCTCCCAGCAGGCCATCAGCTTCCCACCAGGAGGCCAGCAGGCCTTTGGCTATGGAGGACAAGGGATGGATCAGGTGCAAGGCCTGTATGGGGACCAGTATGCAGACCAGTTCGATCAATATGGGGATGATACCGTTGGAGTTCAGGGTGGGGAGATGACATTTAGAGTTCCTAGACCTCAAGTGCGCCTATTTGGGAAAGAGCGCCTAGATGTGCCCCTGCCCCCTCCACCAACTTTGCCACCTGATCCAGAATTTGAAGACATGTCAGAAATCCAGTATGAAGATCAGATGCCTTTTGTCCCAGGTCAACTTGGTGACATGATGTCATTACAGCAGCAAATGAGAATGTCACCACAACAACAAATGATGTCACCACAGCAACAGATGATGTCAGCACAGCAACAAATGATGTCACCACAGCAACAGATGATGTCACCACAGCAACAAATGATGTCACCACAGCAGCAGATGATGCCACAGCAAATGATGTCACCACAGCAACAGATGATGTCACCACAGCAGCAGATGATGCCCCAGCAAATGATGTCACCACAAGAGCAGATGATGTCACAACAAGCGATGTCACCACAAGAGCAGTTGATGATGTCACAACCAATGATGTCACCACAAGAGCAGTTGATGATGTCACAACCAATGATGTCACCACAAGAGCAGTTGATGATGTCACAACCAATGATGTCACCACAAGAGCAGATGATGATGTCACAACAAATGATGTCACCACAAGAGCAGATGATGATGTCACAACCAATGATGTCACCACAAGAGCAAATGATGATGTCACAGCAAATGATGTCACCACAAGAGCAGATGATGATGTCACAACAAATGATGTCACCACAAGAGCAGATGATGATGTCGCAGCAGCCGATGGTGTCTCCCCAAATGATTTCACCACAGGTAATTCTAGCTCTGTTGTGTCATTGATTTTATATAATCATAGTCTTTAGTGTTAGAGGGTCACAGAAGTGCAGCTTGAGCGTTTCCTATCCTATTATTTCCTGAACATGAATGTGAAGATGTGACCAAATTCCCAATGTATTCTAAAGAGCACACCTCCACTGCCCTGCTAAGCAACCATCTTGAGCTACACAGCCTGTAATTCCTTATTTTAAGTAATCCCACCCTAGAGGAAGAGCCAAAGCAGCTCTAATAACAAAATGTTGGACCACATTGTTAGCTTTCAAATTGTGAAATCACACATGACACATTTACAGAAATGTCTAACAATGTGAACAATCACTGTCAACTATATAAATAAATCTGTAAGTGTAGTGCAAGACAATGAGTGATACTAGGCAACATATTGGGGTGGAGTGGGGATGTTACTCTTTGCAGTTTTCACAGTTAACACTGTTTTGTTGTAACTGTTAAAAACAGAACTTGACTATGCAATTTTCTCTGCTAAGATTATGTCATTTTAAAAACGCATTCTTGTGTCCTCAATATGTGGTCCACAGAAATATATGCATAATTGCAGAGTTGCAACTCACAGAACTTATTTTCCATAAGCATTTATAATACCCTAAATTGTCCCTACAACTTTAATACTTTTTTCAGTACTGCGATACCATTTTAACCAAATGTATCGTTCTCTTAACTTTTTTGATTCTCAGTTTATTTTACAATTCATTTTTGTTATTTTTCCAGCAGCAGATGATGACAGACCCAATGATGATGCCACAACAACAGGGTTATGGCCAAGTGTCAATCCCTACTCCAACTGCCATGATTATTAAGCAAGCAAGTATGTCCCCACTTCCAGCAAGGCGCATGCAACCCTCTCCGACTCCATCCCGCCGCTCTGTCATCATGCCCTCCCCACAGATGCAACGACATCCATCTGCCATGGCGTCCCCAATACCTTCTCCTATGCTTGCACAGAGACGCAGCCCATCCCCACAACCATCCATGAGGGGTGGGTTTGTTAATGTCCAAAGACCCCCCTCTGTTATGTTGAGACGCATCTCACCTCCTTCCTCCCCTATGGCCACCCCCCTTGCCCGTCGTAGAATGCAACCTCAGAGATCACCATCTCCCCTGGCTCGAAGACCCTCTCCCCCTCACTCTCCTCGTGCTTCCATGATCCGGCGAAGTCCTCCACCCTCACCAAGAGTGTCAATGAGACGACAATCTCCACCTTCCTCACCCCGTGCTTCCATGAGGAGGCGAAGTCCCCCACCCTCTGCCTCTCCAGCCCGTAGCCCGTTTGGAGGGAGAAAGATGCGCGGGGCACCCTCCCCTTCCTTCTCCCCTGGTCGTGCATCTCCTCCTCTCTCTCCACAGCTCAATAGAAGACCAGCTCCCTCTCCCTCCCCATCTCATCGCAGTGTATCCCCTGCAGGGCCCCGACCTTCCCCTACCCTCTCTCGCCGTTCAACTCGGCTGCTCAGGGACCCAACACCATTGCCGCGACCTAGGATGGGGGGAAATGTTCCCTTAGGTACTGTCCGGCCCTCGCCTATGGGTCTCAGAGGGCGCCCAGTGCCCCCACCCACCCAGAATGTGCGTCCATTCCGTGCCTCCTCCGTACGAAGCAATAGGTCTTCTGTTCTCACAGTGGACTCCCTCCACTCCTCCCCTTTTCACTCCCCTCATATGGTCCATCGTGCTCCCCTAGGGAGGAGAGAATCTGGGCGATTTCCTCCTCGCCCTGTGGCTCGAGGACGTCCCCTCATGTCCCAGCACTCTATAAGAAGGATGCCTCCTGCCTCTCCACAGCCCTCCCTTAAACACATGTCACATCCTGCATCTCCACGCCTCTCTCATCGACCTTCTCGTCAGTCCTCCCCTCTCCTGCCCCCTCGAGTTGCCCATCCACCCACTTATGCACCAGAAACGTATGTGTCTGGCCCCCATATGGATCCTTATGGTGAGCAGTTGCATCAGTTTGCTGCCCCCTCTTCTCCCATGTTATCTGGTGCTATGCGGAATCAGGCTATTCGACAGGCTTCTTACAGTTCCCCTCTTGGCCCAGAGGTGGGTGAGATGGCGCCGGACTATATACAGCCTTATGCTCCCTCATCCCCTATGCTTTCGGGTGCAATGCAAAACCAGGCCATTCGGGATGCGTCCTATGTTTCCTCACTGCGGAGGCCAGCTTCGCCTTATGAACAGCCTATGCCCCCTTCATCTCCCAGGCTGTCAGGGGCTCTGCAGAATCAAGCTATACGAGATGCATCTTATTATTCTCCTTTACAAAGGCCATCATCCCCTTATGAACAGCCTATGCCCCCTTCATCTCCCATGCTGTCAGGGGCTCTGCAGAATCAAGCTATACGAGATGCATCTTATTATTCTCCTTTACAAAGGCCAGCATCCCCTTATGAACAGCCAATGCCCCCTTCTTCCCCAATGCTGTCTGGAGCTCTGCAGAATCAAGCTATACGAGATGCATCTTATTATTCTCCTTTACAAAGGCCAGCATCCCCTTATGAACAGCCTATGCCCCCTTCTTCCCCAATGCTGTCTGGAGCTCTACAAAACCAGGCAGTGAGGGACGCTTCCTATGCATCTCCTCTTCAAAGGCCTCAGTCCCCATATGGCCCATCTGTACCTTCATCTCCAATGCTCTCTGGAGCCATGAGACATGGTCAGGCACTAAGAGGTGTGGCTTCTTATCAGACTCCACAGCTCCGTTCACCATATGGACCAACTGTTGTCACTCCATATGATTATATCTCTGAGCCTGGCCCATCACCACTACTTCATGATGCTCTACAGCACCGGTCTGGTTTGCAGAATGTCTCATCTTTAAGATCCCCTATGATGCAACGCCGTAACTCTTATGCACCACCTGGACCTCAGCTCCACAGTGCTCTTCAACAGAACCCAAACCTCCGCCAAGCATCGTTTCAGACCCCTGTGCACCTCAGACGGTCCCCATATGGACCCCCACCAGTCTCTTCACCAATGTTAGGAAGTGCCCTACAAAACCAGCAGCTGATGCAAGCATCTTACCGGCTGCCAGATGGATCCTTGATGTCACCATATGGAGATTCACGGTCCTCCCCGATGCTCGGCCATGCCTTGCAAAACCGGCAAGTCCGTGGAGCCTCGTACACCTTGCCTGATGGATCAATTATCCGGGTAGGTATAAAAGGGACATATAACAATACAACCTGACATGTATGTTTGTCGACATACAGAACAACGTTAATTGTGTTATTACAGTCCTACTCTCCTATATCACTCTCAACCCTCACCAACACAGGACCCACGTATACCCCAGACGCCAATGTCTCCTAACCTTTCCAGAGCTCTTCAGAACCAGAATGTCAAGACTGCTTCATATACTCTCCCTGATGGCACCATTATAGACCCAAGACAGCAAGTAATCCATGACTCATGATTCTTTATATGAATTCAGTTTACCTCCTATTGTTGTATTGTATCCATTTCTTGTCTCTGCCTAATTGTTAACCATTTATTAACTAAATCTGATGAATATTGTTCTCGCTCTGATGTCTCTGCTCATTCAGCAGCCCATTTCCCCAAACCTGGCTAGGGCCCTAAATAACCAAGCTCTGCGAGCAGCCTCCTATTCTCTCCCTGATGGCACCATTGTGATTGACCCGAAGGCACAGAAGTCCCCGAATCTTACAGCAGCACTTCAGAACCCTTACCTGAAAAGTGCAACTTACACCCTGCCTGATGGGACTATCATCATCGATCCACGGAAACCTGTCTCTCCAAACCTTTCTGGTGCACTTCAAAACTCTGCTCTCCGGAACGCCTCCTTCACACTACCGGAAGGGGTTCAAGACCCCAATACACCAATTTCACCAAACTTGGCTAAGGTTAGCTATGGATGCAGAATCTTTGTTTTTTTTAGGATTTACTTGTAAATGTGTGTGTGTTGATTATCTTTCTCTTTCCTCCCTTCTAATGTACAGTATATGATCTATATATTGGGACTTGTGTAGACGGGCACAGATATAGGGATTTTAAATAATTTGAAAAATGATCTTGTTGATCTTGGCTCTTGTTTTGATAATAATAATTGGTAATCAAATATGCTAAGCTGCTGCTCGAATTTAATTGTTAATTCTACCGTCACTTAATTAAATTGCACTTGTTTAACCTCCCAGGCTTACTTTAACTAAAAACAGCTGTTGTAATACTTAGGCCCTCGGCAATCCAGCCTTGAGAGGAGCTTCATACACCCTCCCTGATGGAACTATTATAGTGGACCCAAGGAAACCAAAGAGCCCCAATCTGACAGCCGCCCTGCAAAATCCCTATCTAAAGGGTGTGTCCTACACCCTGCCTGATGGAACTATCATCATTGACCCACGGAAACCACTTACACCTGACCTGTCTAAAGTGTGTAAATTTACCTTAATTTAACTTTGTTGTTTTAGTGGCTCTTTGTTCACTAACCCAGTCCATGTATTTGTTTCGAAAAGTATTTTAGTAAGTAGAGACTTTTTACTTAATTACACAGTTTGATGACATTCATTTTAAAAATTTAGCTAATTGTGGTTATAGCCTTGAATAACTACGCGCTGTCTTGCTCTGCAGGCTCTTATGAATGCAAACCTTCGTAATGCATCATACCAGCTCCCTGATGGTTCCCTGGTTATCCCTGGTCAAAAGCCTAACCTTTCATCTGCTCTGAGGCTTAACAAGGGAATGCGGTCCACAGGTCTCTATCAACTGTCAGATAACTCTGTACTGTCAGGCCGACCCAAACCCACCACTCCCAACCTCACCTCTGCGCTGAGAAATGAGGACCTCCAAAATGTCCGTTTCAGGTAGGTCACTGCACTATAAATGGAAACTAGGACAGATAAATTACCTGATAGGTTTGTCCAGGTGTTGCACAGAATTGCAAGGTAGGCATTAACTTTTTATTATTGGAAAAAGCAACATTAGCCTTTATCGATCAAAGACTCAGAGTAACTATAGAACCAGAGGAACTAAAACCAGAAACTAAACTATGAACTAAAAGTGCCCTTTTGCCTTTCTTTTGGAGTGTCCGTTACATCTGAAGAAGAGTGATGATTATGGCAAATGAGACCAATGATGGATTAAGTGTTTGAAACATACTTTTACTTTTACATGTTAGAAAACAACAACACAGACTCGTTCTGTTGTTACTTACTGTTGTAGACATGCAGAGGAGGGAAATTAGACTGAAAACTTCCGATCATCAAAGTAGAAAATATGTAGACAAAGTATTAGATAGCTATGCCATGGAACATCACCAGCATTAAACTATCTGCAAATAGATGTATTTATTCTTGTTTTATCCCTTTTTTCTCCCGTCAATGCTCTCTCTCTCTCTCTCTCTCTCTCTCTCTCTCTGTCTCTCTCTCTCTCATTAACTCCCTACCTTTCTCGACCTCAGTGGCCTCTCTCTCGCTTGTGCTCTCAGGTTGTTCACACTTTCTCTCTTTCTCTCGCTTGTGCTCTCAGGTTGTTCACGCTCTTTCTCTCGCTCTTTTGTGAACTAGCTGGGAAGGCAGCAACAAAGCCTAATGCTGTTTTCAACTTTAGTAAACACCAATGTCCATCCTGTCCTAATATCAATACAGTTTTAACAGTCCTTGTTTTATGAAGTGCTACACAATTTGTACTGGTTATGAATTCCTCAGAATGTTCTTGGTCCCCTGCGAAATGGGGTCATGTTACATGTTCTCTTTTTATGGCACTTTGCTTTATTTGACAGTACATTAGGAGAAACAGTAAGGCAGGAAAGACAGGAGAATGACATGCAATAAAAGGCCCAGGTTCATCTTGAACTCAGCCTTGTTACCTGGTACGCGCTCTACGAGGTGAGCTACTGGGGTACCAGTGTTACACGGTCTTATTTGAAGAGAACCATATGTTGTTCCGCAGGCTGCCGGATGGCTCTCTTCTCACACGTCGGTTCCACAACCCAAGCCTGTCTGAAGCCGTCCAAAACCAGCAGCTTCGCTATGCTTCATACAGGGTGCCAACAGCCCTGCAGGGTGAGGATAATCGCTATGCTGTGATTCCTCCCTATGGGCCACGCTCAGGACACTGGGCTAGAAATGCCCGAGGAGGAGAGCAGGGAGGGGAGGACGTCTGGGCAGCTGAGAGGGTTTTACCCCATGGGACGATCCAAAATCTGTCAAAGTGGTCCATGTACAGAGAAGACGGGGTGTTAGAAGGATATTCCCCCACACCTCGAATTGTGGACGGAAAGCCTCAGGACACAGACTGGACTCCTGACAGAGATAGAGTACCTGGTCAAAGCTGGTATGACAAGGTAGCTAAACGTTTATTCATATGTGTGTGTGGCAACATTTACCGAGTATTGGGGTGTTTTACATTGTAAATTTGTTTTATTATTTTTAATCACAGTTAATGGAAAATAAATTGGGATAGCAATGAGTGAGATATACACATTATTCAAGCAATAATTATGACACAGAAGCTGGATGGCCCGCAAAAAACAATTTGTAGAGTTTCTATATATTTTCTACATCAAGTGATGACAATATTCCTCAAGCTTTGACAATGTTGCATGACAGTGTTGGACTAATTACATACCATTGTGTGTGTGTGTGTGTGTGTGTGTGTGTGTGTGTGTGTGTGTGTGTGTGTGTGTGTGTGTGTGTGTGTGTGTCCAGATCTACTCTATCCTAAGCATGCCCACAACAGGCCACAGGGTGAAACGCTGGGCAGAGGGAATGGAGGACATGACACAGCTGCCGTAAGCAGGATCCAGTATTAACGAACAGCCTCACAGCTCATTCACTCATGTCACACACTGCCAAACATTTTGTTGCCCCACTGTAGAGCAGCACAGTTCATTTTAGTGCATATCCTTTCAGTTTCTTTTAACATCACTGTACAGTGTGTGTGTGTGTGTATGTGTGTGTGTGTATGTGTGTGTGTGTGTGTGTGTGTGTGTGTGTGTGTGTGTGTGTGTGTGTGTGTGTGTGTGTGTGTGCCTGCAGGCTTTTTTAAAAATCCTTGAAAATTTGTAGAGTTCAGAAAGAAATCCCTAGCATTAAATATGTTAAGTATATAAGTATTTTATTAAAATGCAACACCCAAGTAGATCTCTGTTGAATGAGCATCACTTCATATCCGGAGGAATCCCCTGCATTAGATATTTGTGTTATTTCAACAGCAGTTTGAAAGAATTAAATCCTCATTTCCTGACATGCTCGCGGGTAAAAACTCTCTGATGTACATCATGTAATGTAACCAGTTTTTTACAGAGAGAGATCTTGAATGTCATTGAAAAGTAATTAATTTTGGATGTCAAAGTGAGTGTGGGAATCCTGCTCCAGTGTGACAATATGTGCTCTGTACGTGTGTGTTTAATTTCCTCTGTGTTTAATTTCAGTGAGCTGAATGAGACCACCGTTCTGATGAACCTGAAGAAGCGCTACGACCAGGAACTTGTATATGTATGTTTAATTTCAAATATGCTAATTGAATAACTAATATCATTAAATGTCATGGATACCGCCTGCTATATCCGCTCACCCACTCTCATTCTTCTCCTTTTTTTCTCTCTGTTTTTCTTCCGCACAGACCTACATAGGCAGCATCCTTGTGTCCGTGAATCCCTACAAGTTGCTCAACATTTATGGCACAGACATGGTTCTTCAGTATGGGAGCCGAGGCCTGAGTGACAACCCTCCGTAAGACCTGGGAGTGTTTGTGTGGTTGTAAGAGCAATTAGTGGCAATTAGTCCCTGAACTTTTTACCTCCAGCAAGGCAGGTTATTTTTTTAGTCTGGTGTGTTTGTCTGTCTGTGTGTAACTAAGCAGGAAATCTCAAAATGTGAGATGAGTAAGAAAGTGAGGCCCACTGAGTTCCGCATTGCAATATAAACCATTTTCACTATTTTTCAAGGACTATTGCTCTCTCTTGATAGAAAACAAATATCTATGCCGTGATTGTCAATCCCTATGTGTATTTTAAAACATATCCAGGTCCAAATGCAGTTCAAAAGAGTCTTTTTGTCTACTAAATTCAGATGATTGTGCAGCCTTGGTGGAGGTGTAAGCTTTCTGAGTCCTTTATAGTTTTGAAAAGAATACAAAAACAAAACTAACCTTTAACTGTAACCTTTGAGTCTGTGTGTTCCTGTGTGTGATTGTATTGTTGTACTACATCTGTCTACATGTGTTGTAAGCTGTACTAAGATATAGTTTTGTGGTAAATAGAGGTGTAAATGCCAGCACTCTCAGGTGTTAGTAAGAGGCTCCTATTACAATGCTGTTGGTTGGTTGCCAAGGGAGAGTTTGGTTATGGATTTCACTATCACTTCACACACACAGTCAGAGACACACACAAACACACCACCAATGAGAAGGAAAGTGTATTTTTTAATTAAATGTTCTTGTTGTTGTGTTGCAGTCATCTTTTTGCCATTGCTAATCTCTCATATACCACCATGATGGATGCCAAAAAGGACCAGTGTATTGTGATCAGGTATGAAATGCTATGTGAGTGTTAAAAGGTCCACTGTGTAACATTTAGGAGGATCTACTGGCAAAAATACATTATAATTTAGTTTATAATCACCTAATAATAAGAATAATTGTGTTTTTGTTACCTTAGAAGGAGCCATTGCTATCTAGTGTTAACAGTAGCCCAGAATAGACAACACTGGCTCTAGACAAGACATTTTGTATTTTTTCCGAGTTTTTGGCCAGCATACACACTTGGAACAGGAGGATGAGGCGAGGGCATTCAAATCTGCAACTTCACTTCTAGATGCCACTAAATCTTACACACAGGTCCTTTAAAAGTAATTTTCCCTTATGCTCAGGTTGATTTTTGGGTAATAAAAAAAATAATAAAAAAATTAAAACTGCTGTCAAAGAGTCACATGAATTGTTTTTGTAATTACAGCGGAGAAAGCGGGTCAGGAAAGACTGAAGCTACTAAACTGATCCTGCGTTACTTGACAGCCATACATCACAAATGCAACGTCACACAACAGGTAAATATGGTGACTATTACTTACATGCATGCTAAAAAATACAGCCCATACTGTGGTCATTTAGGCTAATACTTATTATTTTCCTTTATTCTCTTCTGTCTTCTTCTCCACAATCACCCATCAGATAGAGGTAAAGTGTTCCTCCCCTTGTTTTTGCTCTCATGACGACCACCATCCCTGTTGAAGATAGCAATAGTAACATATCTGTCTGTGGTTATTGGTCAGATCCTAGAGGCTACACCCCTGTTGGAGTCTTTTGGGAATGCCAAAACAGTGCGCAATGACAACTCTTCACGCTTTGGCAAATACACACAGATCTTCATGGAGGAGTGAGTAGTTACAACAACTCAGTGCTACAGAAAAGTAGACAGTCTAGAGTCAAGATGATCTAGAAACCAGGGATTTCTCTCGTTTCTAGATAATCAGAATCAGATCACATACTGTATAAATTGATTTTCTAAAGAGACATTATGTGTTTTACCAATGCAGTGTGTAGTTTGGGACAATTGAAGACAATTGAGCAGCAAACAGGCTGTATGTTACCCATGTGTGCGCGCACACACACACACACACACACACACACACACACACACACACACACACACACACACACATGCATAATGACCTAAGCGGAGAATATGCTGACATGTCCCAGTAACACAGTTAGATGAGTAGTTGATCTGCTAGAACTGTGACAGAGAAGATCCGAGCACATTACACATGCATGACCTGTTACTTAACTCAGACTTATTGTGTGTGTGTCTACCTGTGTGTCGTTTACAAGGGGTGTAATCAGCGGTGCCATAACGTCTCAGTACCTGTTGGAGAAGTCCCGCATTGTCTTTCAGGTGAAAAACACAAGCTCACACACACAGACTCAGCAGGTCAGGTTGGAGTCTTCTTACCACTGAGTCATGGCGAGAAAGAGGAGATTGTAGAGGCAAACAGCATGAGAGGTGTCAAACATGTTGCACATTCATCAGTCATTCATCCATGCACCCATTTATCCATTACGGTGTCTTTTCTACAGTACTATTTCTATTTCAGTACAGATCTAAATCATAGAGCTTTTTAATTATGTATCTAAATATGTGTGCATGTGATAGTTGATTTATGTAGGTCATGTGGCTGTGTGTGTATGTGTGTGTGTGTGTGTGTGTGTGTGTGTGTGTGTGTGTGTGTGTGTGCTCATCCACAGGCCAAATCGGAGAGGAACTATCACATCTTCTACGAGATGTTGGCAGGTCTTCCTCCTAATGAGAAGCACTCACTCTATCTACAGGAAGCTGAGACTTACTACTATCTGAATCAGGTGCTCAGAGAAATATGAAACACACACACACACACACACACACACACACTCACACAGACCACAGATTGGGAGTGGTCACTGTAATCAATTTCATAGTCACATTAACAAATGAGATGTCAAATGTGATATTTATTCTACCAAGTGATTAATGACACAAACATGAAACTTATTGTGGTCGCCAAATACAGAGTTGGGAACTTGAAATATCTCTACAGCTATTAAATGGATTACCATGAAATTGTGCACGGACATTCATATCCAACAGAAGAAGAATTCTACTAATTATTGTGATCCTCTGATTTTTCCTCTAGCGCCACCATGAGCTCTGGTTTCACTGAAATGTCTCCACAATTATCTGATTGATAGCCATGAAATTTTATACAAACATTTTATACAGACATTCTTGTTCCCCTCAGATGAACTTTGCTGATCCCCTGACTTTTCTTTCAGTGGCATCATCAGGTCTAAATTTCAATGTAACCAATACTTTGAAAAACATTCCCATCAGCCTTAGCAGTATTTTGGATTTAGAGCCAATTAATGTGCTAACTAAACTAAGAAGGGCAACATAGTAAACATCATACTTGCATGTTAGCATTGTCGCTATGTACATGTTTTTATTCTGATGTTACACTTAGTTTGCTGCAGCCATTCAGATGTACCTTGCATTAGTTTGTATTCAGGCTCTTAGGTTGCACTACAGAGTGCTTAACACACCACTTTAAGAGATGTGATGAAAGCATTGGCATGAAGCAACACTGCTGATTAAAGATACTTGACAATTTACATTGTTGTTGTAAAAGTTTATTCTTGAAATAGTAACACCTGGTTGAAAAGTCTTGTCTGCCCTCTCTGGCTGAAAGTGTGGTCAGAAGTGTGCTCTGTTGCACCAGGAACCATACCCAGCGATGATGTCAAGGTGTACTGACATACATCATTGCATCAAGGTGAAGTTGAAGCCCTTGAGGTCGGCAAAAACAAGACCCTGAGCTTCTGATAAGTTCGTATTTAATTAGAGCTAGCTGTGATTAAACAGGCTGAGGGTATGTATGTTGTTGTTGATAACAGTGTGCGTATGTGTGTCTGTTTGTGTCTGTGTGTGTGTGTGTGTGTGTGTGTGTGTGTGTGTGTGTGTGTGTGTGTGTGTGTGTGTGTGAGTGCAGGGAGGGGATTGTACCATAGTGGGGAAGGATGATGGGGAGGACTTCAGGCGTCTACTGAGTGCCATGGACATCCTGTGTTTCACTCCAGAGGAGCAAAACGGTATCTACAGACTGCTGTCCTCTGTCCTTCATCTGGGGAACGTCTACTTCCAGCCACACCAGGTCTCTGTGTCACACACACACACACACACACACACATACACACACACACACACACACACACACACACACACACACACACACACACACACACACACACACACACACACACAAATAGGCTACAAAAATGCATGTAGTTTCACGGCTGAATGATAATGATGATGTTGATAAATGATGGTAATAATGACTCTGTATGTGTGGGTGTGCATCCCTGCAGGCTGAGGGTCAAGAGGTTGCGTCAGTGGTGAGCGCACAGGAGATCAGGGTGGTAGCTGAGCTGCTGCAGGTCTCACCTGAAGGCCTACAGAAGTCTGTCACCTTCAAAATGACAGTGAGCAGAACACGCTTTGCATTAACAATCGCAGCCTCACACATACCATAGATATAAGGAGTGGTTTTACAACAGAGATGTTGTCAGATAACAGATGTGTTTGACCCCCCAGGATACAGTAAGGGAGAAGATCTTCACTCCGCTCACAGTGGAGAGTGCTGTGGATGCCAGGTGAGTGAGTGAAGAAGAAATCTTAATAAGTATCTGTTAAATTAAATACTACCCACCTACTTCTGCTTGGGATGACCTGAAATAAAAGCTTATCTGACAGTCTTATTTGAGGCTTTTTAATGTCCTCTTTTCTTTTTTTTAATCCCCCCTCTCTAAAATCACACCAGGAGACTATTGAGAGGGAGTGAAAAGTCTTTGATATTCTCTTCCAATCTTTGGTAGAGGCATATGAGGACAAAGGATGTCAGGGCTGGGGGAGAGATTTTTCAGATGTCCTCTGTTTCCATAGGAACCGGGTTTTCTGTTTCCATAGAAACCTTATTGTGTGTTTTTCATAGAGATGCCGTTGCCAAGATCCTGTACTCGCTGCTGTTTAGTTGGCTGACAGAGCGCATCAACGGACGGGTCTACCCTCGCAACGAAGCTCTCTCCATCTCCATATTGGACATATATGGATTTGAGGTCAAGCTAAATGATCTCGCTCAATAACATTACAGCGCTGATGCGTTTGAGATGACCTGTGTTCACTAACTTCCTCACTCCCCAATGTCTCCTCTCTTTACCCTACAGGAGCTACAGGTGAACAGTTTTGAGCAGCTGTGCATCAACTACGCCAATGAAACTTTGCAGTTCTTCTTTAACAGGGTCATCTTCCAGGAGGAGCAGGTCAGGGAATCTAAAAGCTGATATATTCTATTTTCCCATGTGAGGATGGATTTGCATGTCAGAAGACGTCTAGGCATCTAGGTTAAAACCAGCTTAGATATGGAAAAGTCGAGGTATGAAAGAAAAGACACAGACAGAAGACAATTAGGTATAATCATGAGACAGGTCTTAGCTGCACATTGAAATATAGTGTGTTCAGTGTGCATAATTGTTGCATGTAGCAAAGCATCTTTACATTCATTCTTATTTAATTGAAAGTCTGACGAACATTTGCCTCTATAATAACAAATAAGCGGGTTTCCATGAATGGACTATACACTCAGATACAATCACGCTGTAAAGAAAAGCTGGTCCGCTGCATTCTCGGCCCAAACAAAACAGGTCAGGACCAGTGCATCATAGCTTGTCCAAAATAAGGTTGAGGTTAGAGCAGATGATTAATGACCTGCTGCATGTACAGTAAACACAGACTTGCAGTATTATAGTGCATTTAAATGTACTATCAGATTTAGTATAAAACTTTCTTGTGTGTTTGTACAGTAAAAATACTGAAAACTCTTCTCAGCCAAATTTAGCTTCACTTTAACCAAAATTTCTAAATCTTTTGAGCTGCAAAACATCAAATTAAAGCTCACTGGGTTCGTACATGTGTGTCTGGAGCCTTAAATCTTAAGAGATCTGAACCCAATGAACAGCCTTGTTTGTAACCTGACTTGCATACATTTCATAGAAGTCTCCATCAACCCACATGGTCAAACTATAGTGGATACAGCAATTCTCCAACTGAAGTGAAAACTGGAAACAATCAACAGTTGAGGTAGAAAAGTTTTATATGCAGTAGCCTGATGAACCTTTGTATTGTGTGTGTAGGAGGAGTACATGCGGGAGCAGATAGAGTGGCAGCAGCAGCCCTTCAGCCACAACCAGGCCTGTCTTGACCTCATCGCCGCTAAGCCTCATGGGATACTGCGCATACTGGACGACCAATGCGGTTTCCCTCAGGTACATTCGCACCTGTTGAACTAAACTCTTCAGTGCCAAAGTTATGGGAAGTCACTTAAATGTAATAATGAACACAGATAGCTGTGGGAAGCAAGAGAAGACCCCGCCTCCAAGTGCCTGAAGTATACAATATATTCACTTTAAACAACATATATTTGTAATTCCTGTTCAGTCAAACGATTTTCTTTTGGCTGGAGTCACGTCAGGGTGCTGTGATTTACATGTTGCATTGAACTAGAAAATAAGACTGATTAATACAAAATGACTAAATTATAATAACTGATAACTTAATTAAAACAAAGGGCATTAATAATTAATTTCTCCATCGAAATTGCCCTTAAAATGAAGTTAGATTAGATTATAGGGAACTTTTGAAATCTTAAATTATGTAGGTGTGTTGTGAAAAGCAACAGCTGACAATAACTCATGATTCAAATATTTCATACCTCAGTTTTTGAAAGAGAAATTGAGTTTAAAAAAAAACAACCCACATCTCACTTATTGGATTTCTCATAAACCAGGAGTCTGAAGGGTATAATAGCGAGTTCCGATCAATACGAAACTCTCCCACATGCTCACTTAATTGCCTACCTGCTGTTATCATTGTTCCTGGGGCTCCTAATGTAAGAAGCTGACTGAGCTCGTATTGAGATAAACGTATTATGAAGTGTCTCCGATGCTGAGAGTGAAATACGAACACGTTGTTACACGAGTAACTGACTGAGGCAATCTGCTCAACACACACAGGCGACATATGTATGTGTGTGTGTGTGTGTGTGTGTGCTGTAGAGATTTAGTTTCCATGGCTCACCAACCATTAACCATCTCTGATCATCGCTAGGCAACAGACCACACCTTCCTTCAGAAGTGCCACTATCACCATGGAAACGACCCGCTATATGCCAGGCCAAAGATGCCACTGCCAGAGTTCACCCTGAAACACTACGCTGGGAAGGTCACGTACCAGGTACAGTTCGTCCTTTCTCTTTCTTTCTTTCTTTCTTTCTTTCTTTCTTTCTTTCTTTCTTTCTTTCTTTCTTTTTTTTTCTTTCTTAGAAGGTACACCATTTTAAAAAAACTTTAATTTTATTAAATTTTTACAAATTTAAAACATTTTACAAAAGAAAAGGGAAAACAAAAGTCAACAAACCATGAGAACTAAGTGGGGTATAAGTTTCTGCACGTTCGCTACACTCTCCTCTTACAAGTGCGAAGGAGAAACTACGGTGGTCGCGACATGTGTGAAACGAACAATCTAGATAATACTATCTAGATCCAGTGTTTGGTTTGTCTGTTCTGGGCTACTATAGAAACATGGCTGTTCAACATGGACACCATGGAAGGATTTAAAAGGCTCATTCTAACACATTGTTATGCATATTATATTCCATTTCTGCCAATAGATCCTCCTAAATGTTACTCACTGAATCTTTAAGGTTAAACATATATTCCCATAAATATTAATAAAATTAATTTGCACAGAGTTGGTATACTGTTATACTACCTATATGATAACTCTTCTAACTTGTGTTGCAGGTGCACAAATTCTTGGATAAGAACTTTGACATGGTCCGCCAGGATGTTTTAGACCTCTTCATCCAGAGCAAAAACAGAGTGAGATATCCAAATAAACTTTTTTCTTATTGCTTTCTCTCTCTGATTGTCTTATTATAATATATTCACTGGTTTCCCCATGCTTTATTTCCCAAGGTAAGCATGAGAACTGATCTTCAATTACACTTTAATATCATGATTGTTGCTCATCATCTTGTATTGTGGTGGTGTGGCACAATACAATTACGTGTTTTGACGTAATTAATACACAAATGTACAAATATTAATTTAGTAATTATTGTTTTGAGTCAGGAATACATTTTTAATTGATGTAAGAATAAGTTGTACCAGTGCTAAAGGTTTTTTCCATTCTGCTGTTTGAAAATCATTCTGTATTCACTACACATACTTACTACATACTATATTACCAACCCATTATATGATAGGATAGGATAGTCAGGATGACTGTTCACACTTTGTCTTACCTTTCCGTCCTCTGTGTTGTGTGTGTCTGTGTGTGTTTGTGTGTTTGTGTATATACAGATGGTATCCAGCCTCTTCTTAAAGCACTCAGAGTCTGTGTCTCAGCAGCGGTCTAATGTGCGGCGCAGCAGCACAGCTCGTCGTTATCAGGCCAACACAGTCAGTGCAAAGTTCCAGAGCAGCCTGCAGGAACTGCTGGAGAAGATGGAAAGGTTTGAGTAAAACAACACTCATTTAAACTTTAGGACAAAGTGGAAACCTCTAACACACCTTTATATCATCAGTGGAAAGAGCCAAAGTTGTGTTCTGCTTGCCACCAGGTTGTATAAAGTATAATAATTGGCTTCCTCCAACTCATTTGTGTGTCCTGATATTATATTTAAACACTATGTAGTGCCCTTATCCCTCATTAACTGCGTGCTTTGCTCCTGAGAAGGCAGATGTGTAAATTATACTTATGTGACATTGAACCTGTCAGTGCTGACGCAAAATACTGGTGAGTCACACTGTAATTTAGTGTGTGAGTGACACATACCGTATTATGACCATGTGCCTAAATAAACAATGAATAATTTGTTTTTCCTTGGTGTACTATTAGACTAAAGTGATTAGAGATTAGTTCTAACAACCTTATACGCCTCCAGTGTCAGTGTTTGTAGGTGCCATTCTTCTTCGGAAAATGAGTTTTATTGTCTTAATTTGAGCTCAGTCATGTCTCATAATAGATGAAAACAGAGACCCCTGGAGATCTTTTGCTCTGCAACCATTAACATGTAGCGTCAACTGTAAACTCATGCCATGTCCTACCGATTTTTGCTTATAAAGTTGTTTTTCCCTCACATTGGAGAGTTGACTTCCTTGCACAGGACTAATGTACTGAGCCTTCATCAAATCCTACATTCATTTATCCATCCATTCGTTCTCATCTATCTGTGACAGGTGTAACCCTTATTTTGTGCGATGCATCAAGCCAAACCATCATAAGGTATATTTGCAAGTTGGATGACGTGTGCAGGTTTGCAGTGTTTGTTCTGCATTTTAATTGATATAAAATATACAGCTCATGTGTATTATATGTGTGTGTGTATGTATATGTATGTGTAGGAGCCTGGTGTGTTTGACATGGAGCTGGTCAACACTCAGCTACATTACTCTGGTATAATGGAGACCATCCATATCAGGAAGGAGGGTTATGCAATCAGGATGCACTTCCACAGCTTCCTGTCAAGGTTGGTTACTTACGTTAAGCATATTTGAGGAGCGATGTAAGCTCTAATTGAACCATGTGAGCTAAAATATTGTACAGACTATCTCAGCCTCCCGTTCAGCTTTCTTTCCTTAAAGTAATTGTTTCTGCTTCCCTTACCACTCGAAACATTCAGCCTGAATTATTGGCTTTTTTTTTCTCTGGCAGTTCACACACATCAGTTTCTTCATGCTGAAATAGCCATCTGGTACTTGCCAGCTCCTGCTGTAGGAAAGCAGCTGAAACCAATTGATCTCACAGCACCTCTGACCACTGGCTGCCAAAGGAGTCTGACTTACTGTGTTACAGAAAAACAACTTCAGAGTCATTCACAGTCAATTAGATTCACACTAAAACTACTAAACACAAACAAATGCTTAACTACCAAAACTCAGAATACCCAGAATCCCAATTAGCCTCACGCTAGATCTCTCAGATTCACAGCTAAAGACTTACACTGACATGGAGTTAAAACACAGCTTTTGTTGCAGCTTTGGATTTCACATTCTCTTTCGAATTTGTGCTGGATTGTCATTTTAAATTTGTGTACGTGCACACAGGTATAAAGCCCTGCTCTGCCTGAGGGATCTTCCCCCAGCAGATGGAGAAAACTGTGTCATCATGCTCCACAAGCTCGGCCCGGTCAAGAACGGCTCGTATCAGCTGGGAGTCAGTAAGGTGAGCTCTCTCAGTAACATACAAATGTGCAAAATAAGGTTCAAATAAAGTAAAGAAATAAATACTGTTTAATATAAATTTGTGTGTTAGATTTTCTTGAGAGAGGAGCTATATCAGCTGTTGGAGGGGAAGCGTGACCGTGTGCTGAACCTCGCTGCCATGACGCTGCAGAGATACACCCGCATGTGTTTTATCCGAAAGAACTTCACCAAGTTCCGGCGGCGTGTGGCCCTGTTTCAGGCTCGCTGCAAAGGCTACCTGGCCAGGTAATGTTCACCTGAGGTCAATAACCTGGATACCTTTTTAAATTCTTAATGGCTCATGACTCCTTTAAATGAAGGCAAATACGATAAAGGGATGCCTCTTAACAATATACAGGCTGTACAGAGTGACTTTTTTTTCTCTCTTTAGTGGGCAGAACACTGTCCTGCTTGAGTCTGGAGTGTCAGTGCCCCGCTTGGCAATGTAGGCTGTAGTGTTTGGTTTCACTGAGCCAAATAGGTCAAAGCTTATCACAGGCAACCTGCTTCTTGCCCTTGATGCGAGGAGACAGGGCCAGAGGATTGAGGCCGTGCTCATCAATCAAAGGTGATAGATTTCTCACTCACTGCCAGTGCGGCAGAACCTGGAGAGGAGATGCAAATTCGCGTTTTATTTGAATGTGTTAAAATTCCCTTACTGGCTTAATGAGAAAACTAAAATGGCAATAAACTCAAGGTCAAACATTTTCAATCTGTAATGATATTTCTGAGATCGTTGGTCACGCTTTGATGAACTCAGGGATGTGACACATGCACTAAAGCTATCACTTACTCTATAAGTGTGATTAACACACATCTACACCAACTGTGCTGTCTGTTCTAATTACAGTGATTGACGTTATAGTAAAATGTCAGACTTAAAAACTCAAATGTGCCTGCATCTTTCATAGGGAATGTTTCTATCTTACCAAATGTGTGTGTATGCAAATTCTTACACATTTCAACTTCTTTCTCTTACTTTCTCTCTACTCTATGTATCTGTGTGAATAATCCATCATTTCTGGTTAATGCTTTTCCTGAACAGAAAAAAGTTTACTCTGAGGAGGAAGTACCTCATCAGGTTCCGCTCCGCTGTGCTGCTCATCGTCAACCGCCAGCGCTACATGAGGGTATGCACACTGTGTTCGTGTCTGTGTGAACGGGGGAAACTTCTGGGAATGTCTGCAGTATTTGTGTTTGACAAATGAATAAAAAATGAACAAATGTGTGAAGTGTGATACTGTTGTCTTTCTGTCAGACAGTGGTGGAACCTGCAAGGAAGGCAGAGGAGGTGAGAGAAGGCTGAAATACGGTGTAAGAGTCCGAGAGAGAGGAGAGCCACATTTTGAGAAAAAGATGAAGATGTAGCATTAGTGTGTAATATAAGTGTGTATTTCTGTGTGTGCTTGCAATGTGGGTAGGATCGTATCAACAGAGAAGTAGTGAATGTGACAACACTGCCTATCCCTGCTGAGCTGGCAGCCTTGCTACAGGCGGCCTCAGGTGTGCACACACACACACAGACACACACACACACACACACATATATATACAGCACACTGATCTGCAGTCAGTGTGTGCTATAAATAAACTTCCATCAACAATGCGATGGATGTGTTCCACCTTGTTTGCAGGTGGGTTCAACAATATTTGCTGTCATATTTCTGTGATGACACATGGCCTTTTGTGTGTGTGTGTGTTGTGTGTGTGTGTGTGTGTGTGTGTGTGTGTGTGTGTTGTGTGTGTGTGTTGTGTGTGTGTGCAGGTGGTGAAGAGTTGCATTCTGACTGCTTGGCAGTGGTCCAGGCTCCAAAGGTTCAGGTTGACCCCCAGCTGACCCTGCCCCTGGATATCAACAACTACCTCATGACACACTACATCCGGGCCATATTTAGGGTAAACACACAGAAATCACAGCGTCCATATTGGAAACTGTGTGAACACATGAATGAAACACAAGTTATCCTTGGTGAACTTCACTGGACCCAGGACAGTGTTGTTGTAGTGTTTCAAATACATAAACAGCCACTGTGTGTAATCAGTTGTAAGCACTGATGTATGTGTGTGTGCGTGTGTGTGTGTGCTGTGTTGTAGGAGCCGTTGTTCGGGATGCTGACAGCCCCGCTGGAGAATTCTCTGATTCGAATGGATGAGGAGCTAAAACAAGGAGCCGTGAACGTTTTCATTCTGGTACATGTTGCATTTAAATGCTGCTGGGAAACTGCAGCATCCAGGGCCTCCTGCTAAGCAGTGATATTGTCAAGAAATTAAACCCAGACAAAGAAACATGTCCTGTAATTTAAGATGATTTTCTTACTTGAATTAATTTTAAAAAGGGTTATTACAAACATGTAATAAAAGCATGTGTATGAGTCTTTTTTTTTTTTACTTTTGAACTTGATTTTACCACGATGCTTTGTGTGTTAAAACCTCTTAGAAACTGACATAGTACAATGATATAAACATAGTAATATGATATAAATTGTATACACATGTACAGTGCTTACTGAATATGCAAACACATAAAAAGTCAGTGATTCAGTCTATTCTCGCCACAAGATATACTTATACTGTATACTGCAAGCAACCCTAAGCATACATTTGAAAAGCTAAGGCTTGAGGACCTCTAGGAAACTTTACAACTTTATAGGTGTAATTTGACCTGTAAGGTTACAGTATGTGTTGTAAATGTCTTTGCTTTTGATAGATACTAAGATTTATGGGTGATCCTAACTTGAATGGGGCTCAGGAGAATCTGTTTGGGAACTACATCATCCAGAGAGGACTTGCTAATCCCAGCCTCCGAGATGAGATCTTGGCTCAGGTAGCCAATCAGGTGAGCTTGTTTTTCTGGAATAGAAATGAGAGCCCAAATAAAACAGAATCTTTCACTTTTATGGCACTTTATCTCTTTAATTTTCTCCTTCCTTCCATTAGGTGTGGAGGAATCCTAACATTTTGAATTCAGAGCGTGGTTGGCTCCTCCTTTGCTCCTGTCTTTCTGCCTTCCTGCCCTCTCAAAGGCTGGCCAAGTACTTGCTGAAGTAAGAAACACATAACTGACAATATCTCTTTTTTTAATTACACAGTATATTTATTCCCTTCTTTTCTGTGCATGTCTCTGATCTGTGTACATGATATCAGTTGCTGTTTTGCACATTGCTCTTTGTGCTTGTTGTTATAGGTTTGTGTCTGACTATGGGCCGGAGGGCTACGACTGTGTGTGTCAGCACCGTCTGCTTCAGGCTCTGCAGCGATTGAATGTCGGGCCGGAGTATGTCCGGACGTACCCACCCTGTCTACTAGAGTGGACCGCCAATCGCAAGAGAGCTCACACTGTTCTGCACATACACTGCTTCGATGGTGAGAACACACACACACACAACACATGTAGTTAAGTGGACAAAGAGGGAATTTTAACTGATTACATATTCAGATCTAGTTGCAGAATAGGCCTTAGTAGGTAGGGTAGAAGGGTAAACACTTAATGATATTAATTCCATTCAGGTTCAACAAAGTCAGGGAGCTGCTATTGTGCATGTTGTCATTGGCAACACATGTGGTTACCATACAATTTGATGTCAAAATTGTGAATTGTTGTGGAAAAAGCCTGTTTTGAATTAATAGAAATGATACAGCAAAGTGATTTATTTGCTCAACATCTGTAGTGGTGCCACTGAACAAGGTCCAGGATCACCTTCTGCATCTCTAGTCACCATTAAAAGCATTTTATGCTGCCATTTTGGCCATTTGTCTCTTGTAAAAAAAGATATATATCTCATATAGTCTTCAATGCAGTGGCCCAGTTTTGATTCCAACCTGCGGTCCTTTAATGCTGTCACCCTCTCTCTCTTCCCACTGTCCTGTCACTCTTCAGTCCTAGTTAAGAAAAGGTTAAGTAGAATTGATAAATAATATAAAAACAAGGCTGAATGCTTGTGTCTAACTTTCTACCATCCAGCAACAGAAAGAGAACTGAACTCTATTTGCTTTTGTATTATATTTGTCTCAAGAAATTAAATGTCTTTTCTTGAATACATTTGTGTTATGGTTGCTCTAAATCAACACTGCACAATATGTAAATATGCAGATAACATAAACACAAAACACCAGTTTATGTCCATGTCAAAGTAATGTTGGAAATATTGGAAATTTGAAGCCTAATTATATTGACTCTTTTTGACCCAACCTCACCCTTCTGTTTTTTTGTTTTAGTTGTTTTCTTTACCTGAGCCAGTCTATGCGTGCACTATTCAGCACGAAAGAGTTATCTGTCTCTCTCTCATTTCCTCCTCTCATCCAGCTAATCTGTCCTGTGGCCTTTTGGCAAGTCTACTGAGGATTAGAACACCTGATACTCGCTCTGGTTCACTGGCTGTGTTTGTGTCTGTTTATTGGTGCCGGTGTCTTCGTAAATCTTCACAGACAAACAGGAGACATTGCTAGTAATTTGGTTTACTGATACAGCTCAAGGATTATTTTATAACGTGATTAAAATGGCTCAGAATACATTATAAAGTGAAAAAACACACCGAAACATTTTAAAAATTGAGGTTTTTGTTGAGTGATACCTGTATGTCAGAAGTTATTTTCACATCTGCGGTTTGTCTTCTGCCCGTCAGGTGTGTCCTTCCTGTGTCCTCTACACTCCTGGACGACAGGAGAAGAAATGGCCAAAGACATCTTACAACACAGGTATCATCTTACTGTAAAACATAAGCACTAAACATATGGTTTGGTTACAAGGAAGAAAGAAAGGAATAAACACGTTTTGTTCACGTTTGTGAGTTTCACTGATTGCGTGTGTGTAGGGCTGTGGTGGAGGGTCGTCGAGGCTGGTCGGTGCTACTGAAGGAGCCGGCTCAGTGGGTGGAGCTGGAGGGTTCAGACTACGTTCTGGATCTGATGTCGGACCTTGAGCTACCTGCCGACTTCCCCAAACACAGCAGCTACTTCATCATCTCTGCACAGGAACCAACCAGAGTGCGGCCCAACGCCAGCATGTGAGACACACACACGCACACACACACACACACACACACCAACCATTAGAAAGTTGAGTTTGTCACTGTCTCGGTTCAAGTGGTGGAAAGTAGCTCAGCACATACTTATTAATATGCTTGAGTAGAGTAACGTTTTGAGGTACTTTACTTGAGTATTTCCATTTTATGCTTCTTTATACTTTATACTCCACAACAGTTCAAAGGGAAATATGGTACTTTTAATTCTACTTCATTTATATAATGGCTGTAGTTAATTTTAAAATTAAGATTTCACACAAAAAAACATGATAAGCTTATAAAATACAATATAAACCTTGTAGATGGTTTCATTTAAATAACTGCTTGAGGCCCAAAGGGATAAAGTTGTCACATTTATTACAAATTCCCAAGAAATTACATACAATACAAATTTGTGTAGAACTTGACATTTTTCTTATTTCCTCTCACATTAATCATCTCAGAAGCCCACAGATTTATGTTGTGAGCCTTTGGAGGGAACCTGACCCCTAAATTCAACCACTGGGCTAAACTACTACTGCCCACTACTGTATGAAACTAACCCCACCTCAACTAGCTGTAACATTTAAATGCTACTTACTGCATTGATGTATTAATTAGCAATCTAATAATTTAATATATATGATATATTTATCAGTCGCAGGGGCCAGTTTCTTATACTTTTGATACTTAAAGTACATTTTGCTGACAATGCTAATTACTTATAAAGAGGCTGTAGTTATCTGAACTGTTTTTTTCTCATTGTTTTATAGAAGCCTGTTGAGTGGTGGGTTTGACATGAATAATGACCTCTTATCTCCAGCCATACCTGGCTCTGATGGACAAGGTACGCATTTAAGCAAACATATGAACGCTCACACACATAGACATTGATTACAGGAGACCATAAAGTGCTCCTCTCTCCTCTCACAGACTTTGAGCCTCAAAGAGGGATGGATCGTTATCTCGACAGCCTGTTTGACCCTGTACTGTCTGACGGGACTGGAGTAAGTTACATAACCTGAGAGTCCTCTTTCAACCATTTACTGTCGGTTACTGTAAAGCTCTATTTCTTGAGAGGTACCATGAAGTTGCATCATAATGAGTTTACTTGTTTAAATGCGGACAGCCTGTCGTTTTAATGAGTACGCTGCCTTGTCACATTGTTTTTTATATGCATTTTGATTTTTATTGATTTTTTTGGGGGGGCACGACAGAGGAAGGGAACAAAAAAATTAGTACATAAATTCAAAAGAAGGAGAAAGATGCATGTACAATATGTGTTAACTAAAAACATGCAAAAACACTAAAAATTGTCTTTCATTCACAGTAACAATAACAGTGACAGTTACATGAAAAATGTGTCTCTAAACATGGTTTCTACAGATCTCAGAGACCTTTTTCAGGTTAATCCCTCAGCATGGAAATCAGTCTTTGTGCTCCCTCAGTGCCCACAAGTACAGGTCCAAGATTATAGAAAATAAGAAAGGTTTGTTCTTCAGAGAAAGCTTCATGTGGGATAATACTTGTTATAGTTTGAGCCATTACTTCAGATAAAGGGATTTATGTGTAATCCAGAGTCTCAATGTACATTTCCAGGCACAGCGCAGTAGAATATGCAGTAAAACTGTGCCTGGAACTGTGTGTTTCTTTTTTCACTGCTCTCTGCTTATTGCTGCTCAACTCATTTATGATGCATTATCTCTGTCGCATTACTTCACCACTGTTATAAATTACAGTTGTAATATCATCTGATGATGGTTGACTGGGTTAAATCCGCACGTATTTAGCCGGGGCAATGGTGCAGTGAATGCTGGCCATGTTGGATCTATCAGTCTTCGGCTGGGACGGCGATGTGGTGAATGTTAGCCGTGCTATCGGATGTGGCTGACAGGAATTAGCATGTATCAGATGTGTTCTACAGACCTCTCCCGCCCAGCAACCTATTACGTTACGCAGTTACCGTAACTGTCACAGCCACTAGATCGCCACGGTGATTTCCCACCCAGGCAACGCGGGGATCTGCTTACGAGGAACTGACACTCTGGCAAATGAAGGGCTTATTATTTAATGAGACATGGCGTACAAACACACACACACACACACACACACACACACACACACACACACACACACACACACTCCTTTGGATTTATGGGTAAGTGGCTGATTTCTGATGGTACAGCTGCATACATAAGAGGGGGACTCCTCTGATCTGACAGTCAAAAAGTGCTCTAATTACACAAATATTATCATCATATGTTGATGATCACACTCAAAAAATCTGCAATTAAAAGGTAAGGTATTTTAGTTGAGAAGTATGTAATATTATCACTGTTACACACATCTTTGGCACTTCTGTACGGCAGTTTCTTGTTAATTATCAGCCATCATCTGCCAAATATACTATTATATATTATATTTGATACTCAGAAGCATTCATGTTGTAATCTGATGTTGTCTTTTTCACAGGAAATAGAATCAGCTGCAGGACTGTCCAGCAGGATGAAGGGGGCTGGAGGAGTTGGTGGGGGGTGGAAACAGGAAGGGCAGTCGACCGGCCCCCCACCTCCACCTGGGGGTCAGTCAAAAATCAACCCCTCACTCATTAAGTATTTAGTGTTTAATAAACACTTGGTGGCACTAACATAAAATAGCTGACAGTGGATTATAGTTCACTATATAGTACATATGGAGTAATTTAGACACTCACACACTGGAAGAAGCTCAATAGCTCCATTTATCATTAGCACGTGTAATAAAACAAATACTTAAAATCTGAAATTGAATGTGTTTGTCCTCAGCTGTGAGAGTCCTTCCTGTGGGAGGTGTGATGTCGCCTCCTGTTGCTGCGGTGGCACCTGTAACACCTGGTTCGTATCAAGTGTGAAGAGAAATATGAGAAAACTACTAAAAAATATATTTTTTATTCCTCCATCGTGTTTACTGTGTTTCTCCTCCTCTTCCCTCCAGATGCCCAGCATGCTGTTATGGCCCAGCAACAACAGGCTATCATGAACCAGCAGGCCATCATCATGGTAAGCCCTCCGTCTGGGTCTGCGTCTGTTTATTTGTTCCTGCGCTCTTGTTTTGGAATTAATACGCCATCTTTTTGTTTCTCAGGCCCAGCAGATGACCATGCAGGCCATGGCCATGGTCGGCAGCCCAGTGACAAGCCCCCCTACCTCCCCGATCACGAGCCCTCCCATGAGCCCTCTACTTCACCACCCTCCCAGCCCGTACGCCCCGGCTAGCCCCTATGTTGTCATACCCCCGAGTCCATATGCCAACATCCCACCCAGCCCCTACGCTAACTTCATTCCCACTCCATACGCTGCAGAAAACATCCCACCCAGCCCCTATCCTCCTACTGCACGGCAGGAACAAACTCCCTCACAGCCACAAGCTCAGCCTCGTGCTGAGCCCACAGCCCAGCCTCAGGCCCACCGCCCCAACCCTCAGCCGAGCTCCACCAAAACGAACAAAACTGAGACAGGACAGCCTAAAGCCAACGCTGCTGCACAGGTCAGTAACTCTGAGACATGTGAGGTAACAGTCCGCTGTGACATATTAAATAATGATTCAGTACTTTTTAATTAATGAAAGATGTTCTAGTTGTTGTAAAATCCAACAACAACTAGCAACACTTTCCCAGAAATAAAATATGCACAAAATGAGTCAGGATGATGAGCAAAAGCTGGTTGAGCAAAGAACTGGAATATCTTCAGAAGTGCACCAACAGAAGATCCAAGAAACATAAAACAACAACATAAAATCATCAAGTCATTCAGGGGAAAGCAAACGTATCATATGCATAACCTTTATTTAATCAGGTAGTCTCATTAAGATCACAAAACAACAAAAAACACATGCAGCAAACAGACATCACTAAATAGATTAAGAAAATAGGTTAAAAAGTTTAAAATCAGCCAATGGGATGAGAAATATATCACCTAAAAATCTCCAGATTGAAATAAAACAGGACTGAAGGGTGATATCAATATAGCTCTTCCAACTACTGCTGAGTCTGGTGCAACCTTACTTCTGTTCCGATATCCTTTTGCTGATTATTAGTAAATAAAAATTGGTATTGTTTCCTTGTGAAGTTTAGTCAATGTCTGCAGTTATAAAGGTGATAATATTATAATATTCTATTCAGGAAAATACAATATTATATACATATAAATATTCGTTTCATTATCATATGATGTGATGTTTTGCTGCACAGTCCAGAATTTTTGAGATGATGACACAGGTCGATTTTACTTAAGCATTTTTTGTTTAAACATATTAATGGTTCCAGTTTTTTATTCGGGTGCAGTTCAGTGCAACATGAAATTAATTTGTCCTCTGAACTTCAAAAAGACATTCAAAACCCCACAACAATCACTGCACAATTGATGTTGACAAAATAGAATAGAAATAGCAATAATCATGCCAAATTGCAGGTTTTTTTCTTCACATTTCGACTATCTGTAACAAAAGAAATCTGCTGCATGTATACAGCAAAGTACAATGTCCCTTTTCTTCCCTTTTCTTTGCTGACTTTGTCGTGACTCCAACCAAATCTCAAGAGACAAAATGTTTTCAAAGCCTTGAGTGCAAACTCTCTGTCCTTTCTGTGTGGATTTTTCAGGCGCAGTCAGGTAAGGACAGCGTCTCTCGGAGGAAGGCTCCAGGCGTCCCCGTAAACAAGGACACACCAGTCAGGAAATTTGGTAAGAGTGGGAGAAAAAGAAAAAAAGAGAGCTTGAGCAAGCAAGGAGCGAGAGAGAAAGTCAATTCAAACTTTTACTTCAAGCATAACTCCTTATTGGCTGTGTTTTTTTTATTTTGTTGTGTGTGTTTGTTACAGCTCCCGTGGTGACGTCTCCTCCACCCCCTGCTCCAGAGGTGGTGAAGTACTCGCCTCAGTCCAAAGATCACGTCGTCCCCAGCCAAGATATTCAAGGTTTCTGAATTTAAAAGCTGATTCATTAAACAAGGTTTATACAACATGATGATCATGTAGCCGATAAAGTTACTTATTTTTTGACTGAGACACAGTGGTTGGTATTCGGATTTAAAACAATGGAAAATATAATGTGTAATCTACGTACTTACTTACATACATGGTTTTTATAATTTTTTTAAAGAAATCATCAAAAGGTACAACTCCCCACCTCCACCACCAGACCAGATGCCATCTGGCAAAAGGTGAGGGCTCACAAACACACATATAAACACACACACACACACACACACACACACAGACTGTCTGATAATGGTTGGTTAAACTGCTGTATCTTTGCTAGTAAATAAGCACAGCAGTTGATGATATCTTCAGAATTAACTGTGCATACTGTAAAACCCAGGCTACAACTAACCACCCACAGACAGTGACTGGGACGCTATTGCTCGCGGCGAGCACACAACACCAGAATGATTGTATTTACACGCAATATAGCACAAACACACAGATTATACAGGGCACTACATTTGTAGTTGAAAAATCCTGCAAACTGTAATGTTTGATGTTGACACTGTGTGGATGTATTTAGGAGACCAGAGGGGAAGTTTAAGAAGAAGCAAACTCCTCGTGATGAAGCTTTACAGATCCTGAAACCCCAGATGGACCACCCTCCTGCTCCCCAGGTACACACACACACACACACACATACACAGTCATAGAGTGCATACAGTGTTGTGGACATGCACATCAGACATTAATAGAAAAGGTTTTTGTGTCCTTCCAGCCCAAACGTCCTGTTCCCCCCTCACCATCTGCACCTGCAATGAAAGAGACAGGATTTAAACCCACCAAGGGTGCAAAGACGAGACCACCTGATCGTCCTCTTCCCATACCTCCTCCAGGTACTCACACTCACTCTAACTATATACCCATCCACATATTACAGTACATATGTTGTTTGCATGAGACATATCCCAAAGCTGTAAAACTACATTGTCTAAATTTAAAGTTTATCATCTGTTCATTGTACTGCAGTTCCCCTTGTGGTCACAATTTCATCAGGTACCTTTAAGGGAATGTATGAGCATATAACTGCTTATCTATACCATAAACATCTTAAAAATATTGCAAACTTTTACTCAGAAGAGCCAACACTCTTCAGGTTTTTATTTTAACCAAAAACTCACTGAAATCACCACTTGCAAAAATATTCTGTTTACTAACAATTAGCATGTTCCAGACAAGGTCAGGAGTACAGAAGGGCAGTTAAACAGGGACACAATGACTCTCACAGCAGGTATGTGGCAGTGCGCCACATGACCCCACTGACATGCAGATTGTGAAAATACATCTGTCTTGTCGTTTTGTGGTCTCTTGACCCGCAAACAATTGTGTAAACAAGATTACAACAATATTAGAACAATAAAAAGGTCTGGAGTAACAGTGGAGCAAAGCTGTGAAAGACAGTCAAACTGTCCTTGAGCGAGACAGCAATCACTTTTTGCATCATTCATTGCACGCCTTTCTGACATCAAGACATATCATGCATGACAGATGTAAAAGACGAATCACACAGAGGGAGATTCGACACTGTTTGAAGTTTCAGTTAGCTTTGCACAGAAACAGCCAGTAAAAATTAAACCAAGAGAGTACTTTTTACCTTTAGCTCTTAGCCCTTTTCATTTTTACTTGAGTAACGGGCTTGAATCAGTACTTCACCTTTAACCAGAGTCTTTGTTTACACCAGTATCTGTACTTTTACTTGAGTATCCTACGAATGTGTGTTCTTTTCTCCATCTCTGAACCTTTTTGGTGCAGTTTCTCGTGAGCTTCCTGTAGAGACAGAGACCATCCAGACACAGCTTCATCAGAGCACCAACGAAGAGCACTACACCTACACCAATGTTCCCTGGAGACTTTACCTCAGGAAGGAGGTGTGTACATACACAAATACAAAAAAACACAAAAAAACTAATCATGATCCACTGTCAAAATGTTTGTATTCAATTCTATTGTGGGTGTTTTTCTCTTCTTTTACAGGTCTTTTATCCCAAAGACAGCTTCAACAATCCTCTGGTGCTGGACCTCATTTTCAAACAGGTAATGTAAGAGACAGTTGAATTAATGCAGAATGAAATGATGGATGGATATAACATCAACAGATAAATGTATTTGCGTTTAATATCCTTGAAGTTTCAAATAAAGGCAGTTCATTTTAGTTCATTCACATTTTTTACCTCTCACCAATTCCATATTTTTTACCTGACAACAGAAAAATCACAGAAAGATCAAAATTAATTATTTCTAACATTAACTCTCCTCTTTCCTTCTCTCCTTTCTTCTCTCCTCTGTTCTCTCCTGCAGATAGTGAATGACACTCTGTCAGAGGCGTGTGTTCGCATCACCCGGGATGAAAGGCAGAAAATGAAAGCTCTTTTCGGTAGTCTGTCTGTTCTTCCAGCAGACTTTTTTTTTAATATCGTATGCTCCAATGCAAACACATCTCTTTGACATTCATGAGCTCTTGTGTCTGTTTGTGTGAATGGCAGCTAAACACGGGGTTGAACAGAATATGGATCCAGTGGAGGAGCACGTGAAGAAAACAATCGTCACGGCAGCCAGAGAAACCTGGGAAATATACTTCTCCCGTCTGTTCCCTGCGTCGGTGAGGGTGGTAAATCCTCAGAGGATAATAATTACTGTGTGTGTTATCTTCATTTTTATTGACTCTCTGTGTGTGTGTGTGTGTGTGTGTGTGTGTGTGTGTGTGTGTGTGTGTGTGTGTGTGTGTGTGTGTGTGTGCAGGGAAGTGTAGGAACAGGTGTACAGGTGTTGTCAGTGTCCCACAGCGGTATTAAGCTGTTGAAGACCGTAAAAAGCAGCGCCGCCGCTCCAGATTACTTCCGAGTCCTACGACCCTACACGTATGTGCTGTTTGTTCTGTCTTTGTTTTTTTATTAACGTTTATTTCCTCTTGGTTGGAGACATAGTATGTGTATTTTAGAGTCAGTTTCAGTGTCAGGTGAGTTGTAAATCACAGAAAGTATACCAAATTATCTAGTTTTACCTGACTTTACTCAGGAGTAGATTGATTTATGTGGGTAGCCTTCCCAATACAATTTTCTTTATTTTTATTATCAATGAAATCCCTTACAGTTTTACATAATACCACAGGAGTAAGTACAACAGAGATACATAAATGAGACTGTAAACTAAGATAATATAGAAAATAATACTAATTAAAGAAAACAGATACTAAACAATATGATTTATAACAAATAAAATAACTAAACATCCAAATATACAGTATATAGGGGTTAGAGGGTTTAATAATGGATTTTTAAGGCCAATTTAAGAGTTGTGCATTTGTGTACATCAGCCAACATACACACTGATATGTTTTCTACGAGAAGCTAACATAAGTCAATTTATCAGTCAAGGAGCAGTGGTTGTTTAGGCCTGTGGATCTAAACACATTACATACATACATATTACATCCTCACCAGTGAAAAAACAAAATCACCATTCCTACAGGATGAATAGAGACAAATACTGCTTTGTTTACATGTTTACAAATTATTAGTATAAACGGAAAGTGATGGACTGTCATTAATTATAGGAAGCAGTGATTTTACAGTTTAGTATATTTAGTTTAAGTTTATTTAATCATTATTCATGTTTGATAGCTTTACTAGTTTCTACTATTTCTGTAGCTATGTTTCATACAATAGTTGGGAGCTTATACCGTAAATATCTCTAACTTTGCCGTATCACATTACCTTTTGAACCTTTTCAGCTATGCAGACATCCTGTTTGTAACCATCCCCTCTGAGAACATGCTGGAGTTCAATCTGACCAATGAGAAACTGATCCTGTTCTCAGCCAAGGCACCACAGGTCAAACATCTTATAGACACCTTCATCAATGAGATCAAAAAGGTGCAGACACACACACACACACACACACACACACACACTGAGCTGCAGTTGGAATAAGGACCACTTGTACAACAATTATTAATCAGTCAGTCAGCAGCTGATGTGGTGACTTTGTGAGTTTTATGGGAACTTTGGAAAGATCAGCGACTGAAGCAGCAGATGTGTCAAGTTGAGGGTGAACTTGAGTCTAAATACTGTGAATGCAAATGACATTAAAGTAACATCTAACAGTGTCTATATGTGTGTGTGTTTTTGATTGTAGGACTCAGACTATGTGATTGCAGAGCGAAACTTTGTGACAGACGACCGCTCGATGCTCAGTTTTCACAAAGGTGACATCATCAGGCTGCAGGTTATGGACGGGCTGGAGAAGGGTGAGACGCTGTGGTTCATGTAGTAGAAATCCTGTCATCTTAAGAGGGAATCTGTGATCCAAGCATGTGTGTGTGTGTTTATGTGTTCTACACTGTGTGTCTCCTCCAGGTTACATCTACGGCTGTGTTGTGAGGAAGAAGGTGGTGTATTTGGAGGACCTAAAAAGAGACACTCCAGACTTTGGTGAGTATTCATTAAATCCCTTCATTTTATTCTAAAACTAACTCAGAGATAAACTTCACCTTTTTGTTTGTGGTAACCAGATGTTGGCGTCATGGCCATTGCCTAAAACTAAACAAACAGCTTTGAAAGATTTACTAGCCCAGGCTGTGTCTGTGTACCCTGGAGGTGTGATGGTGTTTTAAACCAAGGAGAAATAGGTGCGGTGATGGTTACAGTGCCCACAGCATTCTCTAAATACAATATTGTATCAGAAAATTGTTTTCAGATGGAACGTGGCGATGCAATTTGAAAAATATTGATTTGTGTCATTTCTTGAGGACACAAAAGATAAAATACATATGAGAAGATATGTCATTCCATCGCTTAACAGTTACTGGAGAGGACAAAGTCAACGTGTGCCTCCTCACACATTTCTGTAATTTACTGTGCTATATGTATTATTTTATTAACTCAGACATTTGGACTTCAAAACTATCCATGAATTAACATCACATCGCAAAAAACTTTAATAATATCAGATGTGAATGTAATATGCATATTTACACAATCTGCCGATACAGAGCAACACTAGCATTCATTTTGAGTCGTGTCCAACACAAGTCCAATATTCGCTATCATTTTACCTCTGTTTTGGTCCCCACCAACTCCTGAGGGCAATAGCTGCTATATCTGTTGCTGAGCAGGTAGTGTTCAGTGAGTTAATATGATTTTTTACAATTCATTTTGACAGTTTCGTAGAGCGGTACAATTGAAGCAGAACAGTAAAGTTGTGAGCGGTAAAACCAAAATAGTGAGCTAAAATACACTAAAGGTTAGGGGGACTACAGAGTCAGGTCCTAATCCTCTGTGAGTTAATCACTTCACACGACTCCTTTTGCATTACAAGCATGTAGTGGTTGTGGCTAAGGTTGGGGTAACCCTGCAGGGATTTAATGTAAGTCAATACGATGTCCTCACAAGTGACAGAAATACCCATGTGTATAGTATCTATAATTAGACCAAAGGCTGCATTATGTGCCAGGTTATCAGCGGAGTCGCAAGGGAGGGTTAAGTCTTGTAAATGAGAGAGAAAGGGATGCAGATAAGGGTCTGACTTGTTGAAATGAAAAGCTGACCTGCTGTAAGGGGAAAGGCAGATAGTGATCGAGACCTTGGTGACGGTTGTATAAGGGCACAAACCGCCCAGGCGTGTGTGCGTTTGTATGATTGGACATTGTAATCCCTCTGGTCTATGTGTGTGTGTGTGTGTGTGTGTGTGTGTGTGTGTGTGTGTGTGTGTGTGTGTGTGTGTGTGTGTGTGTGTGTGTGTCAGGCTGGAAGTTCGGTGCTGTGTTCAGCCGCTCCGGTGCGTTCCCAGCCGAGTGCGTCCATCCCATCGCTCCTCCTGACTTCCTTTCCCTGCCACTGGACCGCAAGGCAGAGCCTCGAGGAGGAGCGGGACAGTTTGCTGTGTCATCAGCCATCGCTGTCGCCGTGGCGTCCACCATGGCTGCACATGAGATAGATCAAACAATTGAGGTACACACACACACACACACACTCACATAAGATATGAATTTTTCTGTCTGCCAAAGTAATCTTAGTGGCCCATTGTTTTCTACTCTCAATCTTTGATTTTCAGAGGGTTTCCCTTGACGAGTTTGGTGATGGAGATCTGGATGAGAGGGCCCTGCAGGACAGTAAATATGACATGTTGGAGTTTGCAAAGAAGTACTTCAGACAGGAAACGAAAGGGAAAGGGTGAGACAAAAGAGATTGTGTATGCACACAGGAAAACACTAATCTCGCTCATTTTTAAAGTTTGCTATTTACTTAAGTAAAATGATCTGAATGCTGATTTTTGTTTTCAGAGATTCCCTGAAGAGCAAAAGCAAGAACAGAGACTCCAGAGATCCCATTGAAATGATCAGGTTCTCCAAGGTGCCTTTTCTTCTACCTATAACCTAAAGCATATTAGCAGTCTATCCTCTCATAGCTCTATGTGGTTTCTCTATCTATTGAAATGTTTACTTTATTTTGTTTTTTTTCCTCTGCAGAATCCTCTGACTGAGTCTCTGATTGAGTTTACGGATCCAGCCATGAACAGAGTGGCAGCTGACCTCTTCCTGTGTAAGTAGTTCTCACCTTCTCTCATCTCTCCTCTAATTACATCATCTTATTACATCTGGGCTCCGATTCATCGGTGTTAAAATGAGACGTTCTCGTATCCGATTTTAAAGGTCCAGTGTGGAACATTTTGGAGGATCTATTGACAGAAATGGAATATAATCTTCATAGATATGTTATCATTCGTGTATAATCACCTGAATGATTTTTACCTAGATTTTTATCTACAGACGCTGCGGGTCGCCTTCCATGGAGTCCGCCATGTTGAACTGCCATGTTTCCACAGTAGCCCAGAACAGACAAACCAAACACCGGCTGTAGTTTCTCCTATACACTTCGTAGTCCGGTCGTCAAATACAGACTCAAGCAGTGTTCGTTAGTTGCAATGTGCAACTTCACCGCTAGATGCCACTAAATCCTACACACTGGTCCTTTAAGATTTCTCTACAAAATCTGATATTCAAGACTTAAATATGGTTGACCTGTCTGTGTGTGTGTGTGTGTGTGTGTGTGTGTGTGTGTGTGTGTGTGTGTGTGTGTGTGTGTGTGTGTGTGTTTGTGTCCTGTTTGTGTAATTTATGCAGCGGTGATGCGTTTCATGGGTGACGCTCCATCAAGAGGGTCCACAGAGCAGGAAGTGGTCAGCACCTTCCTCAAAGTAAATACATGTAGTTTTTTTCTTACTACCAAGGAATCTACTATATTCTCTTCTCTTTTACTAATCTGTGTATGTTTGTTTGTGTTTGTGTTTGTATCCTCCTCTCAGCTCATAGGAGAGTTCACCTTGATGAGGGATGAGGCTTACTGCCAACTCCTCAAACAGCTTACTGCTAACACCAGCTCCAAACCGTAAGTCTACTTTAACACATTAACAACACACACCACAAACCCACACACACTAAACTCTTCTTTCTTCCCCGAGCCTGTAATCCTGAGTGTGTGTTTGCACTCTTATGTTGTACAGTGATAGCTGCCAGCGAGGCTGGAGGATGCTGTACATTCTGACTGCTTTCCATCGCTGCTCGGAGGTCCTCAAGCCCTTCCTGCTGAAATACCTGCAGCAGGCCTCTCGCAGCGCTGGGGCACAGTATCAGGGTAAAACACACACACACACACACACACACACACACACACACACACACACACACACACACACACACACTCACACACGCACACATACACTATCACCAAGTGTTAATCTGCTGTATACATCACCAAAACCGCCAGCATGTAATGTTATCTTCAAATGTGTTAGGCATTGCTAAAGCATGTGAGCAGAACCTGAAGAAGACGTTCCAATATGGTGGCCGCCTCGTTCCACCGAACAGCATGGAGCTGAAGGCTATGATGGTGAGTGCCACACTGCATGTATCCACAATGGTGGAAGAAGAATTAAGATAGTAATAACACAGACTAAGTATACTCCATTAGACACAAGAGTTCTGCATTGATTTATGTAAAAAAAACAGTATTAGCAGCAAAATGTGCTTCAAAGTAAACAAACTCATTATGCAGAATGTTATATTATTACTATTATTGATATAAGCAGCAAATTAATTTGGTGGCTGGATGAATTAAAGCAAAATTTAAATTTAAAAAGGATTAAACTGATGATATTCTTTTTGTATTCTTATTGTCAACATGAAAAGACCAAAACCAACAAGTATTTTCTGTATCCAAAGTGTGATAAGGAGCATATTCCTTTGTGCCATAGAGCTCCATTGTTGTCCAAAAACCATTAAAAACACTCCTAATTGAGTAATATTTGCCAAAAACAATGTAACAAGGAATTATATTTTTATCTCTATGTAATATATTATGTACAACACACTTTCCACCACTATATATGTAGGTTTAAATGTGCTAAGGCCCTAAACAAATCAGCCATAGGCCAACATGTAAGAGTGTGTTTGTAATTTCCTCAGGCGGGACGTAGTTCAAAACGTCAGCTGTTTCTCTTTCCTGGAGGCATCGAACGTCACGCGAAAATCAAAACGTGCTCTGTAAGTGTTCAGCCAAAGTTGGAAGTTCAGCAGCACTGGTGTCTGTGAAGAACAGCTGTGATATACTGTACGTGTGTGTGTGTGTGTGTGTGTGTGTGTGTGTGTGTGTGTGTGTGTGTGTGTGTGTGTGTGTGTGTGTGTGTGTGTGTGTGTGTGTGTGTGTGTGTGTGTGTGTGTGTGTGTGTGTTTCAGGTTGCCCTGGAAGTGATTGAGGAGCTGTGTTATGAGATGGGTTTACACCGACTGGAGGCCATGGAAGAATATGCCATATTTGTAGTCACCAACAGAGGTGTGCTCACAGACGTCTATTTCTTTTTCCTCTCACACTCAAACACACATTAAACGATGTATTAGCGCACGTAGTCAATCTCCTCGTCCGTGCCAGTGAAGCAGATCCAATCACAGATCACATATCAGACTGTTCTCTTGTTTCTAGCTGTGGGAGAAAGTCACTCATGTTCATGATTCTGATAGGGCTGTCATGGGAAAATAATGAGACATGGCTCAATATCACCTCTTCATTTCCGATACTGATATCACAACACGAAGTCTCTGCCAATAAAATCCAATACACAGTTCTCCCTCTTCCTTATCTGCTCATATGTTAGTGTGCCATTTATTTGCATGCTGTGTATCTAAACACGCTGTATTTGAAAACACAAAGCACAATTTACTTACATCCTATAAGTGAATAAATACATTCATAATATGACATTATATAACTTTTTCTAATAAAAAGGAACTTTGTGCTTCATTGTCTTTTGATGAAATGAAGAATTGTTATGGTGGTTATTGCTCCAGCGTTGATACCGTCCTTCGCAACACTCACACTGGACTCTTTTCATCCTGTTGTTGTTGTTATTTTATTGCATTTAATATCTCCACATGATAACAGCTGGCAGCTGCCATCGCTCGCATGCTATTCAAAAACACAGCAGGTCACACAACGTGTGGCTGTACAAATATTAACATGACTTTCCAGGTTTTATGCGTCAGTAGTTTGCAGTGGATTTTAAACAGGTTTTGCTATTATACTGAGTATTAACAAATCCTTCATAATAACAAATATAAATTCTTTAACGGGGTAGTTTAGGTTAATCTTTAAGTAAATAGGCATGTCTCTGAGTAATAAACATCTTTCTGTGCCTGTGTCCAGGTCAGAATGTGCGTCCACTGAACAAACACGAGTACATCCTGGATGTTGCGACAGAGGCGGAGATGGTCGACACTAACTACAGTTTCTGGTTCAGGCGAGTCATCTGGACTCAGCCGCTCAAGTTTGACAATGAGCTCTGTGTCGCCATGCACTATAACCAGGTATGACAGGCGATGCTTCACATACATTCAGTATACGTGACCTGCATGTGTGTATGTGTATGTAACTGTGTTTGTGTGTATATTTAGGTCCTGCCAGACTACCGTAAAGGCCTGCTAAATGTTCTTCCACATGGAAAAGTGAGCGATCAACAGTTCCACCAGATCTCCAAACTGGCAGCTTTGCAGCATAGAGCCAAAGACATCATCTTCATCCCCAGCATGTGAGAAAACATTAAGTAACTGAGATGTTCTTACAGAATGTTTGACAATACAACCTTTCGTTTCAGTGACCAAATGATAACACAGAAAATCTAAAAATATGTTCTTATGCTTTATTGTCAAACATTTTAGTTTATTAAATATGTCATTGCTGATTTCAAGACCCCCAATTTACTGTGTTTTTACAGTTGAGGGTGTAGCAGAATAAAATCTAATCATAAAAATGGAATACATGTACATACATGTAAACATTCACCTACCAAATTTAATTCATTCACTCAAAGATTTTAATTTACACAGCACATTTCGCCCGTCTTGTTTTGAGACAGCCCAAACAACCTTGCATCTCCATGTTTTTAATTTGCCTTCTTTTCATTTGTATTCTTTCGAACTTCCTTTTGCCTCCCGATTCTTGTAATTACATTTAAAGCAATTATTGTCTGTTTTCTAAGTAAATATTCATACTTTTTATCTATTATTTCAGGATGCATTAGACCTTTCCTATTTCCCTATTAACACCAATCCAATTTAACCAGAATGACCAAAATATAAATGTGAAATTAGCATATATTTCTCTTTTACCTGCAGGTTATTAAGAGAGTTCCTCTGTTTCTGCACATTTACTGGAGATGTGTTGTTAAATGTTATTTATTTTATTATTTATATGTATATTTTTCCAGATACACACCAAATGACAACATTTAGATAGTTACAGCACAGGAGCACTGAAGCTGCAATGGATGTTTTTCTAGACTTTCTTTTTATTACTGATGTTCAACAACCGTACAGGAAAGAAACTCATTGTTGAAGAAACCAGAAAGCAGTGCAGTCAGTAGGTTTTGGTGTTTAAACGGTGTGACGCTTTTTTTCTCAACTGTAAAAACTCATGTCCTTCCTTGCTCTTACTGTTATCACTCTCTGTTTCCACCCACCCACACACACACACCCACTCACACACACACACACACACACACACACACACACACACACACACACACACACACACATACACACATACACACACAGCAGCAGCAGAACAGAACAGCTCACTGAGTAAAATCACTCAGAGAAAAAGTTGGGGAATCACTGAGTGAAACAGACTCTTAGTTTATCTTAGATTCCGCTTCTCTTCTTCTCTCCTCCAGACATGAACTATCGGAGTACATCGCGGCACCTCTGTTCAAAAAGCAGCCACCCCAGCAGTGGGTTACCATGGTGACGCAGCACATGCAGCAAGTGCAGACCTTGAACCCGCACCAGGCGAGAGCACAGTTTCTGGGTAAGAGTCCTGTTCACATAAAGAGGAGGGCCTACAGGCAAAAAACTCTGATTTTGAACTGTTCAGCTTTTACATATTTTCCCTACATGCGTAACAACCGTACTTTGTACATTTGGACTGTATTTAATTTTGTATCTCAACATCAAAATATATTGTGATATGGAACTTTTTCAGGAATACTGATTGAAAAAATAATTAAATAACAGTAATGTCTATTTTTTGGAAAGTCTGGAAAAGAAAATAATGAATACAAATCAAGACACTTGAATCATATAAAAATCCAATATTGTCATAAAACAGTCCTGCCCACACTGGCCTAATACAACCATGGATATTAAAGGAAAACCATGCAATAAATAGCTAAATCTCTCACATATTTATATTGTATCACAGTGTATATTATCACATAAATGTAACAAAACATAACTCAAAACGATTACATACAGGTATAACACTTGTTTTCAGAGAAGCTTTACTATCCATTTCTATAAATGATGCTCTTATGAAGCTTTGTTTTCGGTTATTTGTAGATATAGACTGCAACTTTCATATGTAGTTTGCAAAATCTTTTGTACATAACTTTAAGTTCTTATTTCTGATTGGATATTTATTAGGAAAAAGTCGTATGGCCTTCCAGGTGATTATTCATGAATAAATACATTTTTGACAAATATTTCCATAAAATAATCTTATAATTTGAGTTTTAAGGTATAGAATATTATTTCTAAATTGTACATAAATTTCTGTTCTTGACGAGGTGGTCACCAAAGTTCTGGTCATTCTCGTTAACAATATAAGTCAATGTCTTCAAAGCAAGACAAGCTGCAAGTTCCTATATACAGCCCTCTCCAGGGGCTCCCTGTTGCTTTGACGAACAAATTAGGTAGTAATAGTTAAAAACGTTATTTTTTACATTTTCATTTTCTTTTGTTTCGCGTGATTCTGTCATTCTCCAATTGTAAAAAAAAAAAGCGATTACACTCCGAATAGAAAAACACATTTTATCTGACGTGGCACCTTTTCCTCCGTATTTTGCCGAATATCAGGCTACTAGTCTGAGTTACCTTTGCTATCCATGGATTCCGAATTATTGTGTGTGAACATAAATATGTTGTAGCTCCAGACGGTTTTTTATTTTATTTTATTTGTGCCAAGAAACGGCTCATTTGATAGTAAAGGTCGCAGACCTTTGATATATAAGATATCAATAGCTGAGTAAGATGTGGTTCCTCCTCAAAGAATATAAAACATGTGACAGTGTGACTGTGCCTGTGTGTCTGTGCAGGGCTGGTCAGTGCATTCCCTATGTTCGGCTCCTCGTTCTTCTACATCCACAGCAGCAGCTCCACCACCTTCTACGCCCCCTGTATTGTTGCTGTCAATCAGCATGGTCTCCACTTCCTGCACAAAAACACACACGTAAGGAACCAACACTCGCACACATTCACGATTGTGCAGCTCTGCTATGACTCATCTCATCGTGACTGAAACATGAGCCCAGAAGTAGAGTCACACAGTTTCAGTGAGACAGTTGTTGTGTTATAATGTTTGGCCTCTGTGGTGCAGGAGCTGATGACAGTGGTCCCCCTGGTGGAGGTGCAGTCCAGCCGCACCCAGCGGCCCACTGCTGGAACGAGTTACCCATATGTAGACCTCACCCTGGGGGACATGAACACACAGCGGGTGATTCAGCTGCAGCTGGAGCAGGTATTACGCAAACACAGACAATGACGCTCTTCAGACGCCACACATGATCATTTTTTAGCGTTGCAGTTGTTGTGTTGCAGTCTGTGTGCTCACGTCGCCCGTGTTTGTCCACAGGGGCTGGAGTTGTGTCGAGTCATCGCCATGCAGGTGGAAAACATGATGTCGGTGCGGGAGAAGAGACTCACCCTGCCACCCAGCGAAATCACCATGTTATAACACGTGCTCATGCTTAATTGGACACACACACTTGTATGAACACACACATACATTAGATGAAACCCATATACGTAAGCCTACCTCTTCTTGCCTTCAGGTGTTCACACGCTAATATTATATGTGAACACATAAGTGTGCGCACCCTGAAGTCACTTTTACTTGATTATTTTACTGCATTAACTGAAAACAGTGAGAAGTTGTTGTATGTTTCTTTCAGGTTGACACTATATAATTGCACTTACTGCTGTAGATTTAACTGATTTATTATTGATAAGATGTTGTGTCTGTACAGAAGCTGTTGATGAACAGTGAGGAAGCTTCATAGGCCTGTGCCTTGTCATTACAAAGTTTTATAACTGATATGTAACATGTTTTTTATTTTTTTTATTGATACCGTTTACTGTAAAACTTGACGTTAGTGTAAACAATTGTTGTATTCAATCAATATAATGCATCGACTTTGTTGTTTTTTAAAGAATATTTTATCAAAATAAAATAAGCAATTTCAAAGAGAGGGATATGAGAACTTGTGATTAAAGTGATTGAACACCAACAAAAACAACATGAAGACGTATCAGTATAAAATTGCACAACTAAATGTTTTGATAGGTATCGACGTGATGATGCTGGCCTGCAAGTATAGCATTTTTAAAAATTATTTATTGTTTCATTTTATGACTAATTGCTTAATCTAAATGAAATTAATCAGCAGTTTTTTCTGAATTAATTGTTTACGTTACTTTTTTGAGCAAATTTCCACTAGTTACTTGTTACAGCTAGTCAGACTTTATATATAATGGCTGATTTTCTTTGTCTTTAATGATATTTAACTGAATATCTTTGGGACTGTTGGTTGGACCGAACAAGTCATTTGAATATTTATATTATATGGCTCTTTTTTAATTATTGATTATTCTGTGGATTTTTTTCTAGATTAAGCAAAAAGGCCAACAACATGACCATCACAAGTCACAAGGCAACATCTTCAAATTGTCGGAAACCCAAAAGTATTACATTTAAAATTATATAAAATGTGAGTAAATTATGATACATTTATTAAAAATGTAATTTAATAAATTAATTTGGGGGCAATCAATGAGCAACCATTTCAGATATAAATATAGTTATGTAAATTAAAGTAAATACAAAATGTGTAGAAATATTAAAGAAGTATCTATCAATGTACAGGAGTTACGACTAATACTGGGTGGCTTATGGAAAGAAACATTACTGACAAATGTTATATGTTATTTATAAGATTTACAAATCTGAATAAGGTTTCTACTTTTAAAAAAATAATGCAAAAAAAAAAAAATCTGCATGTACTTGGATGTAGATATTCAGATACACCAAACATTACTGATATTAAAAGAAAAACGTGTAAACAGTATTTGCACTACTTTCTTTGCACGGGAGGAAAATATAAAGCCATATATATATAAATAAAATGTATTTTTTTAAATTGTTAATTGTTAGGAACCAAAACAATCAAAAAAAACTACATTTTATTTATATATATATATGACTTTATATATATATATAAATAAAATGTAGTTTTTTTAATTGTTAATTGTTAGGAACCAAAACAATCAATAACACTACAGTAACAGTTCTTTATATGATCAGTGAGAACTTTCTAGAAGTAAATCAGAGGTTAGTGGGACAGATTTAGCAGTAGTCTGAAGTGTGTGTGACCTCAAGGATCCCAAAAATGGATTTATGTGTCTTCCCCGTTCAGGAACACGTGACAGACGCTCAGTCCCCAAAACTGGCAGGTCACCACTGAGCATGCGCAGATGTCTAGCAGGTTACACGAGTTTATTTCAGTCTTTTCTCTCCCGGAGTCGCGATGTGATGCTGTGAGAAAACAAAAACAACCTTGCGCGGATGACAACAATGCTCCCTCTGGACTCTCGGAGGTAAAAAAAACAACAACAACCGGGAAACGTCTCCGGAGCAGCGAGGGTTTTTTTTCGGGAATTGAACGGCGACATGTGAAATGTTGCTGCGTGGTTTGTCGGTATTTCCAGGCGGCGACGGGCAGACACAGCCAGGCTAGTGTCTGGAGCTAGGTAGCTTAGCTGTGGTTAGCGTCTGCGCTGGCTCAGCGGGTTGTGGCATCGACGCAGGGGGGGTTTGGTGACACGTTGTTTGTCCGGTGGTATCAGACAACCGGTCGGAAGGTTTCATCCATTAAACTGCTGTTTAAATGTGAACAGACAGCACGGCGGAGCTACGTAGCTAATGCTAGCTACTTTTTTTTTGTGTGTGTGCTGTTTAAGTGAGAGTGACCCCCCTCTTCCTCCTCTTCCTCCTCTTCCTCTTCCTCCTCCTCATTTTAAACCAGCGACATCCATCGTGAAAGACTTCTTTTGACATCTCGTCCTTTCATATTAACCGGACTCCTTTTTTTTTAAAACTGCTGAAATGCAACGCTGATGCATGCTATCTGTTAGCTAGGAGCTCACCCTCCTCCTCCTCCTCCTCTTCCTCCTCCTCCTCCTCACTACTCCAGTCATATTGTTTTGGCTGACATGGCAGCCAGCGGATACTCTGACCTGAGGGAGAAGCTGAAGTCCATGACCCCACACAGAGACGAGGAGAAGAATAAATACGTGGACGGGACGAGTAATGGCAGCGGGAAAGGTCGGAAGCGCAAGCTCAGAGAGTCCGACGACGATGAGTACGAGCACAGCGACGACAACGCGGAGCTCCGGGAGCAGGAGGCCCACCGGGTGAGGAGCAGCATCCTGCAGAAGAGCATCTTCACACCGGAGGAGTGCGCCCTCATCGAGGAGAAGATAGACGACGTGGTTGCTCAGGGAGAGGCTGGACTTTACCGTGAGCATACCGTGGACAGAGCACCCCTCCGCAACAAGTACTTCTTCGGGGAGGGGTACACATATGGATCCCAGCTGGAGAAGCGTGGACCGGGTCAGGAGAGGCTGTACCGAAAGGGGGAAGTGGATGAGATCCCTGGCTGGGTGCATGAGCTGGTGATCAAGCGTCTGGTGTCCAGTGGCGTGATCCCAGAAGGATTTGTCAACAGTGCAGTCATCAATGATTATCAGCCGGGTGGCTGCATCGTGTCACACGTCGATCCTCTGCACATCTTCGCCCGGCCCATCGTCTCCGTGTCCTTCTTCAGTGACAGCGCGCTCTGCTTCGGCTGCCGCTTCCAGTTCAAACCGATCCGGGTGTCGGAGCCTGTGTTTGTTCTGCCTGTGAGGAGAGGCAGTGTCACGGTACTCAGGTGACTATGGCTGTGTTTGCCTTCATGCATTGATTGAACTGCCAAGAGCTGAAGTTATTGTTGTTGTTGTTGTAACTTAAAACATCTTTCTTTCTCAGTGGTTACGCCGCTGACGACATCACCCATTGCATCAGACCCCAAGACATCAAGGAGCGGCGTGCCGTTATCATCCTTAGAAAGTGAGTATATACATACGTTTTAAAAAGTAACTATCTTGTGTGAAATCTCGCTCTGATCGTGTGTTTCTACTCGTGCTCCCTCCTCTGTTTGACAGGACCAGACCGGATGCTCCTCGACTGGACTCTGACAGCCCTTTAAGCTCTTCTCCTGTAGAGAGACACGCTCCTCTGAAAGCCAAACGCTCTCATCGCAGAGCAGACCCTGATGCTGCTCACAGGTATATATACCCACGCACTACAGGCACACCAGAGGTCTTCATGGAAAACCTACCAGTTGCATTATATTGAGGTCATTTTGTTGCCATAGCGGAGGGCTCCGGCTCAAAATCCCAGCGGTTGTCTGTCAAAAACACCGAACCAGGCTCAACTTGTGCGGGAAAGCGATGCAACTACATCTTTATTTGTTGGTCTCAAGTTACATTGAAGTCACAACTGCAATCTTACTAGGTCAGAGCTTGTAACATTTCTGTATCACTTTCAACATGGCACAAGTAAATGCAGTCAGATTAACGTAAAGGCCGCAGCAGCACAAGGTTAATTATACACAGAGAGAAATGTGCATGACTGTAAGGAACGTATGGCAATCATCACCTCCTATACACATTGTCAGGTTAACAGACTATGAAACATTGTTAAGAGAAAATCGATCTTCTCAGATCAGTATAAAAACTAGTTTCCCTCAAGGTGTCACCAGGGAAGAATAAGTCAAAACAACAACTTGTACGCAGTAATAATCCAACCCCTCTCTCAAACACTCTCTCCTTATATTTCCAATGTTAATTTGTACTGTGTGGATGAATAAATGAACATCCAGCAAAATGTTTTACAAACAAAGAGCAAATAGGAGTAATTTATTAGTGTAATCCACGTAAAAGATACCTTTAAGACACACTTGTGCAAAGACATTTCTGCATTGTAGCAAAGGTCCTTCTTAGAGCAGGTGTTTTGGAAAGTGCCGTTGTGAAGCGGCCGTACAGTCACGTGATAAATGATGATCCAAATCTGACTCGGCATCTCGGATCTTTTTCCTCCACCAGGCCGAGAGTTCTCGAGATGGACAAAGAGGAGAACAGACACCCGTCAGTGTCGCGTCACCGTCGTCACAGCATCAGCTCAGAGAACTACTGGAGGCGCGGTCAAGACTCTGACAAACACCGGGAGAGTTCAGGACGCAAAGTCAAAATGAGACGCCACTGATCACTTCTCTATCAACACATGTACACATATAAATATACCCGCTCTTTTATGTATTTCAATATTGTAACATTCTTTTGATCAATCTTCATTTTTCTCGCTCCAGTTTTGGCACGGGGAGCACAGTCATCATGTTGTCTGCGTTTTGATTTTGAGTTTGGATCAGTTTGAGTGCATATTTGTTTCTGGCAGACGAAGCTGGCGTCTCTGCTACACAGTACAGAACCTCAAAGTTACTCACTACAGTTAGGCTCTGTTGTTAAACCTTAAATTAATTACGTTTCTTGTTTCTGTGTCCATAGATACTTCAAAATGGCATGTATTTTTTGTAACCAAGATGTACAGACCGCAAGAACTAAAAAGAAATGTATGTATGGACTTGTACAAAAGAAAAACCTGAGCTGTAATCTAACTTGTTATAATGTACAATACGTTTGTATAGTCTTTGATTGGGGGAACTTTTATGCAGAAAGAAAGAAACCTTTTGTTTTTTCGCACCTACATTTCTGATCCGTACCTTTTTTACTGTGCCATCCCAGATCTTTGCTGTTCGTTCACTTAAGGTCAACCTGTCGCAGTTTAAGTTGAAACAACCTGGCAGATGTGCAGCCATGCAGTCTGTGTTATGATTTGATTCAGCTTTATGGCTCATCTTGGTGGAGGTCACAGTATGATGCATAAACTAAACTGAAGCTTTATGGAGTGAGCTTTATGGGCTTGTTTTTCCACTCCTGTTTCAGTCTGAAGTTGCTTTACCTTATATAGTGACAGAGGCTATGTTACTGCTGTTCTGTATTAAATCTATTTTCTTCCTCATTTAAATTGGGTGACATTTGGGTTAATCAGAACTTAATGTGAGCAAAAGCAATCTCCATTATGTCTGAACACGAGGCAGAGAAGAAACTCAATTTCCAGACGTATTTGTCCTTGTGGTTTGCTGTGTAAACACAGATACATTTGTTTTTTGCTCCCAGTCAGCCGTATTTGGCAGAGGCGCTCATTAGCTGACTGTTACTTTAGTCTGGAGTTACATATGAATAAAAAGAACCTTGGTTGAGAGGAGAAATTACTTTTCTAATAACAGGATGAGTTGTGTTTATGGTTTAATGAAGCTCTGCGACAGTTGTGAACATGTTGGCAAAGGTTTAAAGTAATTATCTGCAAGGGGCAAATACTGGAGCTCTTCAAAGAGTGGGACACTAACTTTGTGGACACAGTGGTGGCAGATGAGGTGGTTTCACTGGTCACATTTCTTGACAACAAAGGTGCAGTCTGAATGAAATAAATCTGAAAGTGTCTCCACAGAGTGTGTCTGCCTTTAAATAAATCAGAGTTGTCCCTCAACCAAACTGTGTCTTCTGCAGCCTGGAGCAGGAGTTACTCTCATGTTATTAGTGAATCAGCCTGATTGATATTTGAGTTGACCTTAATACCAGAGATATGTTTCTCTCAGTCCTTGAATACAAGATCATTTCCCTTAAATTACTTTTTTTGTTAATGTGTGGACTGAGTGAATCAATGCAGTATATACTGTCTCTACTATCCCTGTCATGTTCTATCTTTTCTGTTCACATCTTTGCCTGATAGGAAACTCTTCCGTTGGTTGTCATCCTCATTGAAATGAACAGTTTCTAACATTGGAATAGTTGTTTTATTCATGTTAATTTAAGTTTTAGTGATCATATCAGTTAAATTATGATTTTCACTCTAGATGAGAAGACATGGGGAAAACAAGTTTGGACAATTCTGCTAGTGTTTCTTTATATTTTAGTTTGTATATTATATATCATCGACATTTCAAGAGTTATTTATAATTCAATAAAGAAAACGTCAAATGTATCTGCTTTTATATATTTTCAATTGTACAATCAAAGGAAACAAACTGAACAAAATCAGAAGATTCAACACAAACTGATTAAAATGGAAATAAGTACGAGGGAAAGAGGGCAGCCTCACGTTCATTTACTTCTCCTTCACAGCATTTGATTTGATCAAGTCTTGATAAGATAAGATAGACTTTATTGATCCCACACTGGGGAAATTCCTTCGCTACAGCAGCTCAACACAACAGATATATATTACAGTTTTTTAATATACAGGTGTGAATTATAAGGAACAGCAGGAGGTAGTGGCATGGTGTAAAAATAATTGCACAGCACATAAATATATACAGCAATATAGTTTAGAGAATATAGACTATAGACAGGACTGAATATACAATATGTGTGTAATATTAATAATGTAAGAAATTATATATATGTGTAAAACTGCATAATACATATATTAAATAGTGCAAAAAAAGTGACTGCGATAAATGTCGGCAGATGTTAGAGAGCTTCACTGCATAGGAAGAAAGATAATTCATTAATATGGGCGATTCTGAGATAAAGGTTCAAAGTTCAAGCTGCTGGAGTTGATCCAGATGTTTGCAGATGAAGCTGAGGCAAACTCCACCTGCTGATGAAGACTATGTGATCAAAAGCTCTGTAACAAGGGAACTGAATAGACCTTCTTGTAGTTTTTTTTAGTTTGCTGTTGCAGTTACTCGGTAGTGCCGCAGCCTCACCCCGGGGGGCGCTACTGCACCTTCACGTTGAACGCCGACCGCAATTAAAGCGCAGAAGAAGAAGAAGAGTCAACCAGCAGCTGTTAGCTAGCTGGTTGAGCTATAACAACTCCGTGTTTAACAACTTTTAGTTGTTAAAAAGCATCGAAATACGCTTTTTATCAAACGCTAATGGTGTGGAGTCGGACTGACATATTCCTCTTCTCACTGAGTGGTAAGTACATGTAACAGTAGTGGAGGAATAGCTGTCACTCACTGCTAACTAACTACGAGCAGGTGTTGGTTGCTGCTCTTCATGCTGACACAGTTTAATAAAAATAGCTCATATTTGTGGGTTTATTGGTCATTTAGGTCATTTAGGTTACCTAGAGGGACATTTTAACTAAGTGCGATGTTACACTGGTGGACTGTGAGCTGTAGCGTGATGTATCACCACCACAAAGGGGAGATAATCAGCAAAGTAAAAAGATAAACTTTATGTTATTAAGCTGCCAAGTGGATGATATGTCATTTTTTATTTTTTAAAGATCCTTGTAGGAGAAGTCGGTGCTCCTTTTTCTGCGGTGTCCTGATGCAACAGCTCGGTGTTGTTGTGTCGCAGTGCTGCCACCTTTGGACAAACAGGGCAAAGGAAGCATTTTTATTTATACCCTTACTCTCATGTTCACACTGCAAGCCTCAGTGCTCACTTCTGTTCTTTCTTTTTTGTGTTTGTTCACTGTTTTTTTTTTTGGCCCGTATCAGATTACAGTGTGAACAGGACACCCCCCCCCCTTCACGACAGATGTCAGTCTAGAGAGTGATCTAGAAAGTCACATTCACTCTGATATAAATTAAACATTAAACATTAAAGTCTGGTCTGATTTAGCCGCTCACATCGAGGGCACATTGCAAGAAATGTGGCCTGGTATCTGTTCTGGACCACATATGAAAGATCTGAGTCACATAAGACCAAAACTGTGTGGACCACTTGTGCCTGCAGTGTGAACGCGGTCTTTCTTACTGTCCCATCACCTAAAGTTGTTGTCCGCTGTATGATGCTGCTAATGTTATAATTTGTTGCCGTATGACTAAAATCTTTTGTATATTGCACAGTAAACTCTTTATGTTTGAAGTGGTGGTATGGTAGAGCAACATATACTTCATATTGGTTAATAGCATTATTGATTGACTGATCTATATGTTTATCAGTTGCACCATTTGTTTGCTGCTGTAATCAACTGTTTGGTAACAGCTGTCAACATCAGGAGTCTGTTGCTTGGCCTGATGGTAAAATAACTAACTAACAGAGAAGCTAACTCTGCTCTGATGTTGAACCTCAGTACTGTATGTGCTTGCAGACATTTGTTGAGCTGTAACTTGACTCAGGAAGGTTGTTGCACATTTGGCCCGGCATGACTCAGGCATGTAATGGGGGCTATAAATAGATCATGTCTCCATTCTTGGGATCCTGTACCTCTGGCAGTGAGAGAGGACATGCACTCAGCTGTGGCCATTTCTGGATCTCAGGTGCCTTGGAACTTAAAAACGTCAAGCACAGTGCACACGTTCAGTATATTGATATCATGGTCACGCATGTATCTGCTACAGAAAGGAGCGAGCTTTAAGGATCGGTTCACAATCTTTCACTTGTAAAAATTCATATTTCGTTTCCCATCTTTAACAACCTAATTATTGGCTTTAGTTTTGAGACGCATATTCCATTGCTTCAGCTTCCCATTGCCTTGACAAAGCTCTTCCTACGTCTCAATTTATCAGTAGAATACATGTCTGATTATTCTGTGAGCTTCATGTTTTTAAAAATAAGATATTCATTGTTGTTACAGGCCTAAAATATGGCTTCATATGCACCTTGTTTAAGACTAAGAAGAGGCTGAAGCAGAGTGATTAGTTTCCCAAAACTAAAGTTGTCAACAAAGTCATGAACAGTGTGGAAAATTGTACTTATTAATAAGTTGCTTGTATTTCTATTGCGCAAAATCTCCCAAATCACAAACATGATAACGTCATAACTTCACACATCAGTGATTGTTTCGAAACTACACTTACAAGCATTCAATCTGTTTCTATGATGTGTTTGATTCTCCCAAAGCAAAAAAAAAAAGCTGTTTGGTTTTTCTATACTTTATTATAACGTTGTTTATTTAACTAATACAGATGAACTATTGTTTCACTAGTTCTTTAACTGAACAGGATGTTGTTTTAAGGAAGATTAAAACATGTTTATTGAGCATGACTATTGCTCTGTGTCTCCCCTCTGGTGCAAATTAAAAACAGATATACAGTACAGTTCATACTTGAATATTACTCTCTTCATAACACTCATGTAGAAGTTCAGAAAGAATTCTGCAGGTAGAGTTAATTTCTCCTCTACCTGACAGTCGTGTCTTGTGTAACTTTTTGCCCACTTAAATTCATGCATGCTCCCTTTCCCAAGGCTAACCTCAAAAAAGGAAGCAATGAACTTCCAGGGCAGTCGGAGGCGAGGAGAGGATGGCATTGCCATGGTGATTGACTTCCTGCTGTCTAATGCCCGGCTGGTTCTGGGAGTTGGTGGGGCTGCCATGCTAGGAATTGCTACGTTGGCAGTGAAACGGGTGAGTGTTTTTTTGAGGTTGTTAGTACCGCATCAGTGCATAGCCACTCTTCTTGTGAATATGGAAAATCCATCTGTACACGGAGACTTTAATTACTGCAAAAATTCTGACTTGGGTGGAGGGCGGGAGGTGTAAAGTCCTGGAACCTCCATGAAGTTTTATACTAACATTAAAATAACTAGTATGTTCATTGAGACGTAAGTTTAGTTTTTCCAACTTATAGTTTGGTACTTCACCCTACATCTGTTTCATTACCTGTTTCATGTTTTGTTGGAAAGTACATACAGAAAGTTGCTGAATATCCCTCGTTACTCATTAAATACATATGGGTTGATTGCATTCGCAAGCTATGTGGTCAGTAGGGTCTGAATCAGAATTTTTCAAGTCGATTCAGAGTCGCCTTTTAGCTAGAGTCTCGTTTGTTAAGATCTAAGAAACCTCATTATCATCAACTAAAGTAGACAAAGAAAATGAAAGCAGCAAAATGCTCACAGTAATGGGAGTAATTAGAGTGTCTCCAACATGTAAATTTTTAATTTCTATGAATTTTAAGTTGATTTTTGTACGGTAGTGGAATGAATAGAAATCTGCCGCTGCCCAGACGACAGGAAATATGTCAAAAGATGGTTTGAGAAATGGTCAGCAGTAATGTAAAATATGTAAATTATAGTTAATGGACTAAAACATGCAACTTTTCAAAGTTCCTTGAGGCCGAGGTTATTTTTGTACCTTTAATTTATTTGCCTTTGGGTAACGTTGGTGTTTGCCCTCTGTATTTGGACAGTGCATTATCAGTCATGCGGTGCATGCATGACTGCATGTCTGTGACGATGACTGTTTGTGTTTAGCTGATAGAGCGCGCCGGCCGTGCAGCGGATGATGAAAAGGTGGAACAGAAGATGGCTGAGAGCTGGGAGGAGTTGAGTTTGGTCTCTGCCTCCCCCACACTGATCAAGAAGGGACTAGAGGGTGTGGTGATGAAACATGTTGCCAAGGCAGCCAAACAGCACAAAGGTATTGACCAAAACCAAAAGTGTTGTAAAATGTAGAAGTTATTCTACATGACTGCCACTCTCTAATATTGCTTAACAACTGTTTTCATCTCTTTATCAATCAGCTGACCTGAGCCAACAACCTCAGATGTCCTCTCTGGAGGTCCAGTCTAAGCCTGAGTCAAAGTCCAAGAGACTTCAGCTGTGCGTCCTCAGTTTCCAGGTACACTGAGACATTTCACCCCTGAGCTCTTGAAAGCGTAGATTACGCATTCAGTCTGAGCAGCTGCTGTAAGAGCTCCGCTTAGTGTTGGCTCATTCATTTATGCATGTGTAGCATGTTTTGTAAAGCGCACTGCTTAGGGGATATGCATTGTTATGCACTGGTAGGGCTGCATAGAGCCCCCAGAGCCGTGCATAATCAAATCCCTGTGTGTGCTTGTGTCTATATAGAAGTCTAAAAGTCAAACAAGCATGAAACAGCTTTAAGGGTAGTGTGCAGAACATCCACATAATCAGAAGTGTTGCGGATTGTTCTGTATGAGCTACAGCTGCAAACGCATGACTGGACATAAGAGGGGATTTGAAACAATGGGATTTGCCTTTTAAAGAAAGCTTATGCAAATTGTATCTTTCATGGATAGTTGCACATCATAACTTTCTTTTCTGAATCTCTGGAAAGCTTTTTTTGCAATCGATACTGGATAGTGTAGAAACACCTTGAAAATTAGATTTTTCTTGGGCAGCACAGTGTTTATTTAACTTACTTGTTTCCATAACGACAGGTCCTGTTCAGTATTGGCACAACATCCACAACAGTATCAGTGGAATCCATTGTTTAAGATGCTTCCTAGGTCCTTGTTTTGCCACAGGCTTTAAGACCGTAAATGAAAGACCAAACTTGTTTTATTGCTCACTTTTGTAAATGCTTCTTCAACAACAGTAACAGAAATCACACAGCACCGTTTCTCTGGTTTTTACTTCCTCTTCGCAGCAACTTAACCGGCAGAACATCATCCTGCCAGTGTTTCTTAAGTCAGCTTAGAGACACTGAATGACTTTGAATATTATATTACTCAAGAGACAGTGTATTCCCAGAGGAAGTGTAAAAACTTCAGAACTGTTTTCTTAACTTCATGTTTAGAGTCGTTATCTTTTCAACACAGTGTTTGCGCCTCTCTGAAGGATGCGCATGCATAGTACAGTAGCTGTATACATGACTTGTTTTGTTAAGTCTTTGCGTGCCATGTATCATGGGGAAAACTGTATAAAATGTGTTTAGGAGCGACTCCAGCAGTACTATCACACGAGGGCTGCTCTAGCTCCACATGAGGTCCAGAGGGCTCAGTCTCTAGCTCTGGACATCTGTACTGAGATCCAGGGCTTTCTGCACAGTCGTCATCCTGACATGCCCCTGGGAGAAATGTGCCTCGGAGGTTCTCTCCTGGATGACCTGCAGGTATATGATAATACACGTTGACATAACTTCCTCAGTGATGTCGTATAGCAAGATGTTTGATGAATACCACCTTGGCTTATTTCTGTGTGTGTATGTTTGTGTGTGTGTGTGTGTGTGTGTAGGTGGTCAGTGCAGACCACGCATGTCTCCTGGTGCCTCTACAGCTAGAAGCCTCCCTGTGGCGTCTTGTCCCAGGAGAGGAAACACTGCTCACACATCCGCTGCACTGGATGGTCAAACGGGTCAATCTGGAATATTTCCCCCGAGGACGCAGCTATTGGGACAGGTGATCACACACAAATTAAGAAAATACATTAAATTTTTCCGGCATCCTGAACTTTTAGTACTCACTTATCAGATGGTGCAACTGGCAGATTATTCCTGCTAATTAGCTACAGTTTTTTTTTGTTTTACTCCGACAAACTTAATGTGTAAATCGGTAAATAAAAACAAAAACAAAGGTTGCCAATAACAGTTACTTTCACTATCAATCAATCTGCTGCTTATTTTTTTTTTCGGATTAATAGCGTAGTCTTACATTGCAAAATTGTTAAAAATTACTAATCGCAACAAAATATTGAGTTTACAATGATATAAGACAAAGAAAAGCAGCTAATCCTCTCATTTGAGAGGCTAGAATCAGAGCATGTTGGGCATTTCTTCACTAAACGTTAATGTTTTCGTTATCAATATAGTTGCTGATCTTTAAAAGCCTTTTATTCATACTTTTTGAATTGGCGTTGAATCAAACTGATATGTGACTGATGAAACCACATACTGTATTCAACTCAGCAGATCTATGGAGCCGTTTATCCTCTATTAGCTCACTGATTTAGTTTTACATCATCATTGAGCAACAGAATTCATTCATTCATTCGTATAGTGAGAGTAAAGGGTGATGCTACCTTTACAAGCCTTTTACATAACCTTTGTAACTTCCAGTGAAGCAGCAGTAATAGATGTTTGCAGTGGCAGGGCATCACAGCTGAAACCAGTCTCTCCTTGTGTCTTGTAGGTACCTGGTGGGTGGTTACCTGTCCGCAGAAGCTGTTGTGAACATGTTTAGTAAAGCTATCATGGAAACCATAAACTGGCCGTCCATCAGCAGCACTCTGGACTGTCTCGTCAGACCTGTTCTGGGAGGATCAGACCTGCGGCTGGAGATTCAGTAAGTGTCTGTTCTTTATTGCTGTTGTGTCCTTTTGCACTAATTAATGTTACAATTTGAAGTTTAGAAAGCAGTGCTGACACAATTATTTAATAGTGGATGCAGCGATGAACTAGCATAAAGTGTTGACTTGACTTTCCAAGAAACTATAAAGCTGGTAAAGTTTCATTGTTAAGCTGCTGTTCATTTGGACAGAACAATATTGTTGATTTATCAGTTTCCCATTTATGTTTTGCTTAATTTTGCTTTCAGTTTTGAGCATCTCATAAACAGAAAATACTGGAATAACAAAATAACAGCACACAGCAACAAATGTTATTAAACAAAGGAAGGACATTCTTTAAAAAGGCACCTAGTTTACAAGTAACTTTATCTTATTGTCATAAAATTAATTTAATTCATTATGCTTACGTTCTTACATTCAAAACAAATGTGATGCTCTTCTTCCAAACAATTGTCATTATAGAGGTATCTATCCAGCCCTTTATATCATCCACTGACCTTAGGAAATCTGGTGTTGTTTACTCTGAAATTAAAAATAGCCTGCCTTTTCTTTTGGTTTTCACAACAAATACTTAGCTCTTGTTTATATTCCACATAAATATCACATGGCGCCATGATTCTCACCTCGCCACTTTTGCGTGAACTGATCTTTCAGCTTCTGTTCAACAGTTTGCTTCAACCAGTTGATGATGTTGCAGGTTTGTGTCCCTGATGCAGCCTTCCCGTAGTCTTGCATAAAAAAGGCAATCAAATAAACATCCTTCAAATCCTCTGGGTAAACAGGATGCTATTAGAAAAATTTAGTTCTCCCCATAAGGCTTGTTAATCAATATTTTTAAGTGAGCAATGGCTCCAATTAGTATGTGTAATGTGGAATTTGTCGCCCCTAGTGACAATCCCACAGAGAGTTCCCTGCCGTTCCCAAAAGCTCTGAGGAGCTGCTTAGTTTTATTCAGCTCATCGTTTTTGTTTTATGACGTACAACTTCACTCTCACTGCTCTCATCGGTGTCGTTTTCAACTGCAGCAGGCAGCATTTTATAGTGGGGAAGATCTGATAAACCAACTGCACACTTCCTGCCAAACACCAAACTGTAGACAGACAAAGTTAGTGACTGGCCTCTGGACATAGTGGAGCATGTTCACTCTCTTAAGCAGCTAAAGAGAAGACCAAAGACCAAAAGAGATTTAAAAGGAAAGATAATGGACTTACATTCTTGAGGTAGCCAGAAACACAACTCCAAATGATTGGTAATGTTACTCCTATCTGCTGGTTGTGTTGATAGGCAGCCTAAGTGAACAAAGAAAACTATTTAAACATGCTGTGTGATCATAGTAGTCAACCTGTGTGGTGTGTTAAACTTGATGTGCTTGCTCTCTTTTCTCCTGTTGTAATCATTCAGGCCTGGAAATGAAAAACAAGGGGCAGAGAGCAGTGATGAGCCCCTTTTTATCTCCATGTTGCCTCTGCTGAGGGAGGGGGATGTGGTTCTGACTGCTCAGCCTGAGCTCACCTCTCCGTGGGTCAACGCCTGGCACCTGTCTCTCTACCCGTGGGAGACTCAGCGCCTAACTCAGCTCGACACCGCTGACGATGGATACCGCAGACAGACACTCAAAATCCTCAAAGCGGTGTGCAGACTGAACCCCGCCCTGCGACCGCTCAAAGCCGCCCCGCTGGCCAACCTCATTCTGCACCTCAGTGACAGTGAGAGCGACTGGTCCGAAACCAGCCTGGATGTGAGATTCCAACAGTGTATCACAGAGCTGATTGGCTACCTTGAACAAGGGGCGTTGCACAGTTACTTCAAGCCAGCTGTTAACCTGCTGAGCGGCCTGTCCGAGGACCAGGTGGATCAGATGGGCTTCATGCTTTACTGCGCCGTGTCAGAGCCTGAAATTCTGCTCATTTAACTGTCTGCCACACACAGTACGCTTCACGTTTCTCAAGCTCTGATACAAACAAAGGAGTAATCTTTTATCATCCGAGACATTTGTTGGATTCTTCCCACTGCCTACTCTCGTTGTTTAGCTCCTCCATCCTGCTTTGATGCAAAGGAACAGGGTACAGTTGGAATGACAAAATGGCAGGCACCATGGACTCATGTCTACACTGGCGGGGGGAGAAGCTACAGGGAGATATGTGAAAGTGATAATCAAGCTACAAACAAATATCTCCGAGAAAAAGGAGACGTGCCAAGGAAAAGGAGCCGAGAAAGTGTTTGAAACGATGCTTCAGTATGTGCCTGATAGATAACTCCCCACACACACCCCAGCCAAGTCTGCGTTGAAGTTTTTGTGTGATTATTAGTTTTCACAGGGTGTCTGTGATGGTCAGCATGGCCTTATACAGTCCAGTAAATCCATTAACAGCAGTGGAGGAGTACAGTTCATTGCTTAAGTGCATAATTCTTTATATCTTTTAATTGATAGTGTGTGCTCTGAATCATTTTCCTAAATCTCCTTTTAATATATTCTAACTATGCAGAAAAATAATTACCTGCTGAAGGCCACCGGGTTTTGTGCACTTATTAAACTACTCAGTCCGTCTGAGTTGGACTTATTTAACTCAACATGTATACTCTGCCATGCTGGGAGTTGAAGTGTGCAGTATTTTGTTCGTCTTGTTTAGTGTTGAGTCTGTTGCCAATCTTATCTGGGTGAACTAACCCTTTGAATTATGGCTAAAGTTGCCTAATAATTTTATGCACTCGCTTTTAAATACGTATGAACGGTGTGGGCATTTCTTCAGTATTTTTTTTTTTTTGCTGAGTGAAAGAAAATGTGTTTTCTGTGATTGAGCAGTGAAACTGCAAATAAAAAATTAAATCATTTGTTTAGATTCTCGTTCAGTTTCCCCAAATTTTTTCATTTATTTTCCAACTTGAGTAAAATCAAGTGTCACAAAGATAAGCCTCAGACCGATCTTGCATGTGAAACCTTTGTTCATCAGTGTTCAACCCTCCACTATTAACTGAAGAGACGTAAACTTCTTGCACTAGTTAAAGGAAATGTCAGAATGCTGAAATGATGTCATGTGGTCAGCTGATAATTGTTCCCATCAGCTGATTGCCTAAACAACATAAATGGAAGACTACAAACATGTGCCATGGACTTCTGTATAAAGAAGTTACTTAAGTTCAAGTCTTTATTAAAACAACACTAACTTGCCCACATGTAAATTGAAAGAATTATTAATTGCTGTAATCATTCCCTTCCGAAATGAGCAAAATTAGATGGATTGTGGATTCTGTTCCTCATCATTTTGGGATCCCATTCAGACGGGATCTCTTCAGGGCCGTGATGATGATGATGATGACCGTGGACGCACGCTGACCCAATGTCAAAAACAATTTTAAACTTCTGAAACAACCACAAAAAAGTATGTTTCACAAAGTTAGTATGTGTTTAAAAAAAACATTTTATTGGATTACTTGCATTTCTGGTAAGTGAGTTACTGTACTCAAGCACAATATGAGGTACTTTTAATCTTAAACAGTGTTATTATTTTCAGCTTTATTCTTCTCCACAGCAATTCAGATGTATAAATTGTACTTTTTTCCAAGAGTTTTAACTGGTTTAATACAACAGGGTGTTCCCAGCATGAATTGTTACTTGTTTATCCCACGTGAGCCAAGAGTCTACACCTACCAAGCTCCTCTCCTGTGGAACGAGCTTCCAGCAGACACCCTCTCCTCATTCAGACTTTCCTTTTAAGCTTACAGTTGAGTCTTGCTCAGGTGATGCACTGGGCTCCTCTCTCTTCCTCTCCATCTATATGCATTGTTATCCCATGAATGCATGTTACTAACTTCCTCTCTCTCTCTCCTGTAGTTGTGTGCTTTCTTGTCTCTCCTCTCTGTTTATGAAGCTCTCTGTAGGTGTTTCTGCCTCCGGAGCAGTAGAGTCTGAATCGAAGATGGAAAGCCACCAACTGCCCCCCTCTGTCTTTCTGTCTCAACTCAACCGGTCGAGGCAGACGGCCGCCCACCCAGAGCCTGGTTCTGCTCAAGGTTTCTGCCTGTTAAAAGGATGTTTTTTTTAAGTGCTTGCTCGTGGTGGGAACTGTTGGGTCTCTGTAAATTATTTTATAAGATAACTTTGATTTTTTTGGTTCAGAAGACTTCACTCATAGCAATTAAATAAGATTACATAGACTTCATTGATGCTACACAGGGGAAATTATCTTGTAACAGCATCTCAAGATACAACACAATACAACAGATAAGAAAATACACATTCAATGAAAATGGAAAGACTTATATGTACATGTTTTTATATACAGGTGTGGTTGATGGAACATTGCACTGATTATTTTCACCAGGATTACAGCAGGAGGTAGTGGCACAGTATAAAAATCAATATAATTGTATCGTATAAAAAGTATAAGGGAAATATAGGATATAAATATATAGATAGAGCAGATAATTGCAGTATACAGGTATATGTATGTATATATATATATATATATATATATATATATATATATATATATATATATATATATATATATGTATGTATGTATGTATGTATGTATATATATATATATATATATATATATATATATATATATATATATATATATATATATATATATATATATACCTTTATTTAAACTTATTTATTTACAATGATCTCATTTTAAAATAAAATAACTATACAAGATATTTAAAAAATAGAAAATATGAGAAGGAAAATGTATTGATTTAAACACTAAGATATAAGACAAAAGTAAACAAGGAATTAAAACAATTATAAAAACAGTTCATACAAGATAAAACAATTCACATAAAATAAGTGCAAGCAGAGGTTGAATCATTCATCATGGATTTAAATGCACCAAAAGGGTACAGAAGTTATCCTCAGGGTGCTTCGTGGGGAATTCCATGTTGTTGTTGAGCATAAAAAGTAAAAGTAGATATTTTAAGCTCCGTACGAACTGGAGGAACTTACAGTGAAAGTCATTAGATTGTGTTTAATAAGGTCTAGATGACCATTCTAGCATAGAAGAGATATAGGCTGTCAACTTCCCAATGACAGCCTTATATATAAACAAATACATATGCTTATCATGTCTCTCAACCCAGCCTTTGCAAGGGTGAGTGCCATTGGCATCACTAGTAATAAACCTGAGGGCAGAATGATAACCGGCATCCAGTGGCTTAAGAGCAGAGGCAGAGGTGTGCCTATAAATCACATCACCATAATCCATAACAGAGACAAACAGCTTCAACAAAAAGCAGAAAGTTAGTTCCTATATTTTTGTCATAGTTTGATGATAAGATGGTCTGTATAATATTTGAATGTATTTATATCCAGGAACACTCTCAATGTTGGATCTTCGTGCAGTGGAAATATAAAAGGTTACAGTTAGTTTTGCATGCCTAATAATGTTTGTAATAATTTCCTGTAACCCTGAGTACTAATAGTCTACATCCATTTGTTTTCTTTGTTTGTATTTTTCATATTTCTAGCACTAGGCCAGTGGTTCCCAACCTAGAGGTCAGGACCCCCTCTAGGGGTCACCAGAGCTTCATGGGGGATCGTGAGGCCATTTTGGGTGTAAGAAAACTTAAATATTTACATGGTAGGCCTATTTCTCAGCAATTTAGAATAAAACTAAATGAAATTGTATTTTTCTTTAAGTTTAGATAGAATAGAAAAAATACATAATACAGACAAATAATTGTATCAAAAGTTCCTAAAAATATCAGGAAAACTTATCTCTGATCAATATTTACAGGGAATAATCTGCTCAAAATTCATCCAAATTGCTCATTTTGTATTGTGTTCACTGTTTGTTGTTATGCTTTGAATATAATAAGAAATATCCATAAAATATGTCACTTATTCAGGGGTCATCAGTTCATTCAGTGATAGGAAAAGGCTCCTTTAAAGAAAAGGTTGGGATCTAACTGCACTAGGCTGTCTTAAAGTTATCATGTCCCAAACAACTAATCAAGGTTTATATAGTAAGTTAATAGATAAAGGAGGGGTGATAATGCTTTCAATTGATTAAATATAGCTCTGCAGTGCTCTAAGCAGACCGCATATGCAGTAGATCAGCAGTTCTCAACCTGGGGGTCGGGACCCACACTAGGTGTCTGGAAGATTTACAGGGGGTCACTTAGCCTCCTTGAGTTTAAGGGGTGTAAAAGTAGGCCTATATCTCAAGATTTAGTTTATTTCTGTGATGAAAACGAAATGAAATTGCTATTTTTTAAATTTTAGATTATAATTTTAGATACAAACTTTAAAAACATCTCACAGAATAAAGGCACGGTGAAGACATGAGCCTCGTCCTGGATTATAAAACAACCAAAGAGCTCATAAAACAATAAAACAATGAGAATGAAACACTGAATCTGTCAAAAGAGAGAAATAATATGTCTGTATGATTCTTAAACACATAACACAGACAGAGAATTGTAAATAAGCTGCTCAAAATTAATCAAAATCACTTGTTTTACACAAACTTCCTGCTGTCACTGAGTTCACTATTTGGATTCATTGTACAGTTTTGGATATAAAATAAAATATGTCACTTATTCAGTTCACTCAATGATAGAAAAAAAAAAAGAGTTGGGAATTAACTGCAGCAGACGACAGAAAAGCTCACTGCAACAATAAGAGAGACTTTAACTTTGAAACTGAGGAGCGGAAGTCTTCACGACCGTGTGTGACTTGACTCCGGACCTGCAGCCTGATTTTCTCCATGAAGAAAACAGAAGTGAGCCGGCGCGTCTCCCGGTCCGGCATCTGTCACATGGCACAGCGCGGACGCACAGTGGAGGAGGAGGAGGGAGAGGAGGAAGGGGTTCAGGTTTACCGGTGAAATACGAGGCTTTCAAAGGCTGAACATTGGCTCAATGATTATAAAGAGGAACAGAAATCCCGGGACAAAGGTTGGTGAGTCGTGTGACCGCCGTGCGTTCGCCTGCGGGGAACTTTCGCTTCTCCGTTAAGTTTTTTTTCTCCTCTCTCTCAAGTTCCCGAAAACGCCGCCGCTTGTTTACTTGTTGTTGTTGCTGAAAGGGAAGCGGATACGACCGACCCCTGGGAGCTTTACTTTGTTACAGCTTCAAGGATCTGTCGCCTCATGGGTGCGGAGGACAACTGCGCAACAACTTTATAAACTCTCCGGTTGTTTGTTGTTGTTGTTGTCCAGTCTGAACAGCTGACTCACCGACTGAAGGACGGGCAGCGGCACCGGGACAATGTTTGATGCTGAATAGATCAAATATATATATATATACCGGTATATATACATATATTTCTGTATGGGCTGAACCCCCTCACCGTCTGGAGATGATCGGGTCACCGGACCTGCTGGCCTTCACCGGCACTGAGGGGTTTGGGGAAGGAGAAGAGGAGGCTCAGGGTCTACCTGAAGAGTTTTCGGTCCCCCTTCTACCTCCGTCCCACCCCTGGACCACCTCAGCCAAGTTCCACAGAGACTTCATACTGGTGGCTGAGTTCTCAGAGCAGGTGTGTGTGTGTGTGTGTGTGTGTGTGTGTGTGTGTTATATTGCGATTATTCTGTCAATAAGATTCACAATTTTTCCATCACAAATTTAAGACAAAACATGTTTTCTTGCCTCTGGAGAACAATATTTGTAGCCCAGGGTGCTTTATTCTCACCATTATAATGCTGTTTTATCACCTATTTTACTTTAATTAGATATTCAATTGCAGCTTCTTATTGCCATATTGCGATTTCAGTAATATTTCCATCAATTGTGCAGCTCTAATGAAAACTGTACCTGCTGTGATACTGATATAGTGTTATTGGGAATCTTTAAACATTTGTGAGAAGGACTCTCAGTTACCTGTTTTAGAG